TGCCAAGTTCATGACCAAGGTTGAAAAGCTTCATTCATTCGTACATGAGTGGCAGACTGTGGCCAGCAGAGAATACTCAGCTGTTACTGTCTACGATGAGATTACAAGTATTCTCATTAGCTGGCGCCGTCTTGAGCTGTCAACTTGGGCCAAGCTCTTGGATATCGAGAAAGAGCGATGCGAGGACGAGGTGAGTGCTTGGTGGTTTATCGCGTATGAAGCACTTATCGGTGCTCCCATCATGATGGTCGAGGCAGGCGAACAGGACATGACCGAACACACCCAGAACTTGGTTTTGACCCTGGAGCAATTCTTCAAGTCTACAACTACAGGCCAGTTTGCTCGCCGTCTACAGCTTGTTGCCAACTTCCAAGCACTGCTTGAAGTTTTCACCACAGATTATCCCTGCCTTAAGAAGCTAGTCTCTGCCTTGGACAACTTCCTCCACCACTACGGACCCTTCCAGCCCGGAGTGGACAAATATCTGACGGAGAAGCGGTCGGTTCTTGAAAAGGATATCAAGGAGCAGATTCAGCTTGCGAGCTGGAAAGATGTCAACATCGTGGCTTTGAAGGAAAGTGCCAGAAGGTCGCATGTCAAGCTATTCAAGCTTGTTAGAAAGTACCGTGCAGCCCTTGGCCAGCCTGTTCAATCAATCCTTGAAGCAGGCCTTCCGGAAAGCACCGAGGAGGTTACTTCCATGTCCCAAGCAGAGCCAGTCCGCCCCACTGCCACGTTCCCTGAAGCAATGGCCATTTGCCAAAATGACAAGAACCTGTGGTCCACTCGAGCGGTCAGATTCCAGAAGCCGGATGGAACAGCCAACAACATGATGAATCTCTATTCGTCAATTCCAGCCGAGTTCGACATTGCGAAGGACCTCGACAGCTTCATTGTCTCAGTGATTGAAAGCATGAATGAGTTCAAGTCCAAGACACCAAAGGTCCTGAACGAAGACAACAAGGACGACGTCCAGCACCTCAAGTCCCAGAAACGCCGTCTCTATGCTGAGACCCTCAAGCAACTATATGAGATGGGTGTGAAACGTAATGCTGGATCAAGTGTGATCGAAACTCAAGAAACAGTTCCGCAGGTTCTCGCCACTAGTGCCGCCTTTGAGGCTGGCGCTGCAACCTCAACTGCAGTTCAGAGTGCCGACTGGTACTTCCACAGACTTCTAGATCTCCTGCCCAAGACCCGCCTAGCATCTCGCAACTATTCCGAGGAGCTAAGCAATGTCGAGGTCCACAGAAGCATGGGGTCTATTGAGCATCTCATTTTCACTGTCCGTCGCCAGAGAGGTGTCATTTCGCCTGCCCTCACAGGCTTGGGCAAGTTGAAATCTACGCTTGACAAGGTGCAGAACCTTTGGACAGCGACTTCGAACTCTCTGTCGCAAGACCATGCTTCTGCATCGGAAAAGCGAACCAATCTGGCCAGAATCGTGGCTTGGCTGGCTCCTATTCTTGGACTGGCCGCAATGATCATTGGAGTGCATTCCAAGTTCTCAAAAATTGATGCATCTAAGATTGTGGAGCAGCTCCACGCCAAAAAGGTATCCTTCGATAGCCTACGCAAGGCGCACCAAGCCCTTCCCATGCTTCCCACGGGAATTGCGTCTAACGCAAACCACGAGATCGCGCAGCAGGCACAATCATCGCTCGATGAATTGGCTGCTGACTTGAAGCAATGGAGTCAAGCTCGCCCTGACCTGTCCTTCGCGCTGGATCAGATCACACCTTGGGTCAAGACAAACATCGCTGCTCTCCCTGAGGTCAATGATGAGAACAGCTTATCCATCCAAGCCTTCGATAGCAGCCTCCTGACCGCCATTGACAAAATGCTCATCGGCCTCCAGAAGCTCAAGGATGTGCCTTCTGCCATCACGTTTGATGGATTGCTGTCGAGGAGTGATGAGTTCTTCTCTCGCGGTATCAAGGCTGTCCATCTCACTGAGATCACCACCGCATTGGAGAAGGTCCTTGATCAATTGCACCGCCTGCAAGACCATTCCGCTGGCGGCCTCTCCGTTGCCGCTGCACTGATCACTAGTATCCTGCCTATCGCCAACAGATACTACCAAATATGCCGGGATCTGGCTGATCGGTTCATCGCCGTTCATCGCGAGATCTGTAAGACATCCTACATCCTGACCAAGACCTTCAAGCAAGTCGCCTCTGAAGGCTTCTGCAGTCCTGCCGAAGCATCCCAAGATCAAGGCAAGGAGGGCCAGATGGAAAGTGGAACAGGTCTCGGTGAAGGCGAAGGTGCTGAGGATATCAGCAAAGATGTTGGTGACGACGAAGATTTAACTGAGTTGGCGCAACAAGAGAACAAGAAGGAGGACGGTGATGATGAGATGGATGATTCCAAGGATGCTGTCAACATGGATCAGGAAGAGTTGGAAGGTGATGCTGAGGATCGCAACGACGATGAGGAGGAGAACGACGACAGTGCCGACGAAGGAGATGACGATATCGACGAAGAGACGGGAAGCGTCGATGACCTTGACCCAGGTGCTGTGGACGAAAAGCTCTGGGACGGTGGTAATGATGAGCAGCAGAAGGATACTGAGAACGAAGAAGGAAAGGGCCAATCAGAGGCCGAGCAACAAGCTGCTGCTCAGGAAGAGAAGGGTGACAAAGATGGTGAAAAGGGTGAAGAAAAGCAAAAGGAAGGAGAGGAAGAGGAAGAAGAAACAGAAGATGAAGAGGCCCCCGAAGACGAGGGCGAGGCAGTTGGCCGTGAGGAAATGGACGTCACCGACCCTCAAGCGAAGGAAGAAGAAACACTCGAACTTCCTGAGGAAATGCAACTTGATGATGGTGAAGGCAAGGACGACAATGGCGAGGACGACGACGAGATGGATGATCTTGACGATGATTTCGGTCCTGCCCCCGAAGAAGAAGGGAAGGTCGAAGACGCTGATGATCATGCCGGCGAAGAAGACGCCGAGGCAGCCCCAGAGGATCAAGTGCCAGGCGAGGAAGATGAAGAAATGGCCGATGATGCGGAGGAAACCAATGAAGGCGAAGCCGGAGAAGAGGAGGAAGAGGAAGCTGGTGGAGAAGATCCCGAGGAGCCTGAGCAAGACGACTTCCTCGCACAGCGTGATGAGAATGATGCCGCAGGTGATAACGTCGCACCTAGTGAAGCTGTCACTGGCGGGCTCGGAGCCGAGCAAGACCAAAATGAAGAAAAGGGTGCCTCAGGTGACGCTCAGCAGGAGAGCGGCTCGACTGATCCCAGTGCCAATGTCGACCAACAGACAGGTGCTGCCAAGGATAGCGAGGAGAGCCAGCCCAGCCGAGACGCTGCTGGTGGCGAAGATCACGGGCCAGATGAACCTCAGATGCAGGCATTCAAGAAGCTCGGTGACATCCTCGAGCAATGGCATCGACGACAAAAGGAGATCCTCAATCCGTCCCAAGAGGAAGAGGAATCCCAGCCTATGCCCGAAGACACCGATATGGCCGACGCGGACTTCGAGCACCTAAAGGATGACGACGATGCCGCAGACACCCAGGCCCTTGGACAAGCAAACGACGACCAAACGCAAGCCCTCGACCAAAGCAAGGGCGTGGAGTCCGACATCAAGCCTGGTGAGAACGATGTTCTCCCAGACGTGTCGGACGAGCAGCAAGATGCCGTGGACAACCAACTTGAGGATGAGATGCAAATCGACCGTGAGACCGTTCCCGCCGAGGGCGACTCCGCCGGCGCCTTCATTCCTGGCGGTCAATCATCCCACGATCGCGCAGACGGAGCACAGGGCACCGAAGAAGTGGACGAAGAACTCGACGAAGTTGACTCGCAACTCGCAGCGATCCACCTCTCTTCTTCGCTCCCCCCATTGACCCCACAAGACGAAGCCCGCCGCCTCTGGTCGCACTACGAGTCCGCCACAAATGATCTCTCGCTCTCCCTGACCGAACAACTCCGTCTCATCCTCGCCCCCACAATGGCCACCAAGCTCCGGGGTGATTTCCGTACCGGAAAGCGACTGAACATCAAGCGTATCATTCCCTACATCGCATCCCAGTATAAGCGTGACAAGATCTGGATGCGCCGCTCTATCCCCTCAAAGCGCAACTACCAGATCATGCTGGCTGTCGACGACAGCAAGTCCATGCTGGAAAGCGGCAGTGGCCAGCTCGCCTTCGAGACCCTCGCCCTTGTTGCGAAAAGTCTGAGCATGCTGGAGGCTGGTGACCTGTGCGTCCTCGGCTTTGGTAACGAAGACCATGTTCGTGTCGCCCACGAGTTCGGAAAGCCCTTCTCCTCCGAGGCCGGCTCCCAGGTCTTCCAGCACTTCAGCTACCAGCAAACTGGTACCAATGTGCGCAAGCTGATCGCCGACTCTATCGCTCTCTTCCGCGAGGCTCGCTGGAAGCGCTCGCCTGGCTCTGGCTCTACCGATCTCTGGCAGCTTCAGTTGATTATCTCTGATGGTATCTGTGAAGATCATGATACTATTCGCCGTCTTGTTAGGCAGGCGCTTGAGGAGCGCATCATGGTTGTCTTTATTATCGTCGATGCTGTTAAGGGTAGCTCTATCCTTGACCTCTCACAGGCTAGCTTCGAGGCCGATCCTAACTCTGGTGGTGAGATGAAGCTCAAGATGAAGCGATACCTCGAGGATTTCCCCTTCCCTTACTACCTCGTCGTTCGTGATGTGAGGGAATTGCCCTCTGTTTTGGCTACTGCACTCAAGCAGTGGTTCGCCGAAGTTGTGGATGTGTCGTCTTGATACTCCAAAAAATAAAAGGAGTTGGAATAGTCTATTTGGAGTTATTTTGTTACATTTGACGGCGTTGGGATGAACATATTTTTTTGTATATGATAGATTTTATAGATGTGATACATACGTATCAGTTAAATGTACATTTTTTAGTTGTTTATTCAAATTTCCGTATGTCATTTCCTACAAAATGGTATGGTATCTCAATGCTAATGCGCTTGACAAAAATTCCCCTAGAATGGCCTTGTGTATGCTAAAACTACCATCCGTACTTGGATCCAGCTTCCTTCTTGTTTCTCCGACCTGTTGCAAAGCTTTCCTCCAATGCCTCCTTCTGCGAGCTTGCAACATTGAGCAACTGCTGGAGGGTATGCTTGCCCGGCGCAATGGAGCGCACGGGGTTGTGCTGTGCCCCCGCCAGCTCGCCTTGTGCCAGAACCTTGTTTGACGCGTACTCCTCGTCTGTGTTGAAGGTACGCACCTGTGACTGCGACGGTATAGCATTTCGACCGAAGAGCTGGCGTCTTTCGGCCTTGGATAAGTTCAGGTCGTTGGCAATGCTGTCCAAGGATGATGTAGGATTGGTTGATACCGTTGCCGTTGAATGCTCCATGGCGATTGGTGTATGCTCGGCAAGTACTGGATCAGCTTCTGATACTTCTTCGCCTTCGGCGTTGTATACCAGCGGCCGGTAGGTTGCTGATGGTCCAGGTTCCGAGGCTGGCTGAGAAGTGGCCTCTTCCGAGGATAGAGAGAAGAGACTGACTTTGGGTTTTGGTGGTGCAGGGGCAGGGGCAGGGGCTTGCTGTAGAGGTTGAGCAGGCTTCGGCGCTGCTGATGAGGAAGGTGTTGGTTGCTCGGCAATCTTGGTGGTCTTTCTCTTCTTTTGAGGTCGTCCGACGGATAACGGTCTGAACATCATCGGATTTCCTTGCAATTTGACCTCCGCTGGGGTTTTCATTGTCTCCGCCAGTGCATCTGATGCAGTGTCGGTTTTTGAGCTGCCAGGTGCAGAAGTGATGTCTTCCGCATCTCCGCCCGCTAGATTTTCGAATGCGTAATCATTCTTCATCTCCGCATCGGCTGTGCGATCGAATCCAGGCCCTGCTCCTGTTTTGAGACTAAACGCTTTTCGTGTTGTCGCCACTGGTGCTTTCTTTTCGGCTGTTCGTTTCGGCGCTGGAAGGAAAGCGTTGAATCCCGAAAGGCCTCCTCCACCACCTAACCGAGCCTTTTTGCGCGGACCATCTTCAGTATCTTCGCCGGATGGGTGTTCAGGTTTGATTTCTGGAATCGCGATGCGGATCTTGCCCAGGTTGCTGCGGTCGATCTGGAACCCAGTTTTGGAGCCGGTCTTCTTTACCTTGCTAATCTGGGGTGCGGGTGTAGTATTTGGCTCGGCGTCTGAGCCTTCAGAATCTGAGTAGCCTACTAGCACCATGGTGGGAGAGTTATCTTGGGGTTGTTGTTCCCTTAAGATTTGAGAGACTGGAGTTGACGAGTTAAATTCTTTGCCGCCTAATATTCCAGGCACAATAATATTACATAAGCATATCATCCAAATCTCGAGAGGGGGAAAGAAAAAGACATTACATAGTGGACTAGGGGAGGGGATGGAATGGACCAAAGAAGAAAAATGTCCGAAAACACAGGCTAATAATGTCAAACTCACTTTCGACAGTGAAACCGCAGGGATGATCGCATCACTTTGTAACGTCATCGCATCCGGTTTCTCCGCTTCTACGGAGATTAATAGGATCATACATTGAACAATGGTGTTCATAGACATTTATAGTCGCTTGAACCATCTGAATTAACTAACTAGCCTACTTTGTATGTAGGATATGATCTGATATACATATTAGTTTAGGCATGTATGTAGATATAAGTACATTTACGAGTGACTAGGCGGAATCATAGAATAATAATAATATAAGATGATAAATTCAGATAAATAGATTCCAGTAGAGACCAAATCAAGCCAATAGACCAAATAATAATCTTCTAAATCGACATATCAGCTCAATAAAGTTGTTCAAGTGTTCAAAATGTAAAGTCCATAATGAAAGATCAATGCGTCATTCTGGCCGCTAGCTGCCCCTCCCCACTTAATCCGGACCTCCCATTCCAGCTTTCTTTCCCCATCCCCCCCCCCAATGGCCCCAAAGCCTCTCTAATCTTCTCTCCATGCCGAGTCTAGGAGGTTTACTGAAGAAGAGGCGAACGAAGGATTCGCAAGATCTAGGGAAACCAGATTCTGAGAACCACGACGGTTCAGGCGCATCCATGCAAACCGCTTCACACGCTTCGCCCCAGCACACGGGTACGGGTACACACGACAATGCCGCCAGTATCGACAACATTATAAACCAGGAGCAGCCGAAGCAGGAGAGAGTCACAAAGGGGAAGTACTCTCAGGAGGACTTCGAGCTTCAGCGCACCTTGGGAACGGGGAGCTTCGGCCGTGTGCACCTGGTGCAGTCTAACCACAATCATCGCTTCTATGCGATGAAAGTGTTGAAGAAGGCCCAGGTGGTCAAGATGAAGCAAATCGAGCACACAAATGACGAGCGGCGCATGTTAAATCGGGTCCGCCATCCATTCCTTGTTACCTTGTGGGGAACGTGGCAGGACTCTCGAAACCTCTATATGGTCATGGACTTTGTGGAGGGAGGCGAATTGTTCAGTCTCCTGCGCAAGTCACAAGTGAGTGACCCATGACCACTTCCTTCGGTCTTGTGTGTGTGAAACAAAGAACTCATATGTCATTAGCGATTCCCGAACCCGGTGGCCAAATTCTATGCCGCGGAGGTTACCCTAGCGCTGGAGTATTTGCACGCACACCAGATTATCTATCGTGATTTGAAGCCAGAAAACCTTCTGTTGGACCGTCATGGTCATCTGAAGATCACGGATTTTGGATTTGCTAAAAACGTGCCGGATATTACGTGGACACTTTGTGGTACCCCCGACTACCTAGCACCCGAGGTTGTCTCTTCCAAGGGATATAACAAATCAGTTGACTGGTAAGCTTGCTTTCAATGCTTCCGTCGAATTGTTCTAACTGTCCCAAGGTGGTCATTGGGAATCCTAATCTTTGAAATGCTGTGTGGATTCACTCCCTTCTGGGACAGCGGATCTCCAGTCAAGATTTATGAGAATATCCTGCGGGGGAAAGTCAAGTATCCTCCATACTTACACACCGACGCGGTTGATCTGCTCTCTCAGCTGATCACTTCCGACCTCACCAAGCGCCTCGGCAACTTGCACGGTGGCCCGAGTGATGTCAAAAACCATGCCTGGTTCGCCGAGGTCACTTGGGATCGACTGGCTCGTAAGGATATTGATGCGCCATATATCCCGCCCATTCGCGGCGGACAAGGTGATGCAAGCCAGTACGACAAGTATCCGGAAGAGACAGAGCACTATGGCCAGGAAGGAGAGGATCCGTATGTACCTCTTTCTACGCAATCCGCACACTTGACTAACTCGTTCTAGATATGGCCACCTTTTCCCCGACTTCTAAGGTGCTTGTATGATTTTATGACGCGACGAAAAGTCCTCTGGGGGAGGGCCGGAACTGATTGACCCCGGGAGGAGTCGTGAAAAACCAGGAGCCATTATATGAAAATCCATACTATTCTATATGCACATCATTTTTCTTAGCAATTACAATCCAATTTTTGTGTTTTTTTTCTCTTTCAATTGCCTGCTCGATGTACAAATGGATTCGTTGTGAACCCTGTTCTATTCCCAATCTCTCCAACCACTGGGGCACAAAAAGCCACGCCCATATTATACACGGGCTACCAGGCCGCTTCTATCGTACAGTAGTTCATTCACAGAGGTGTGTGTGTCTTTTGCTTCTTGTTTCATCCTTCATCTTCCTTGCTTTCTTCTGATTCGAGGATGGATCGAGTTTAGCCCAGGATTCCGCTGCCGCCCTCGGGCATGCCGGTAGCCATGGAGGCAATGGCAGCAGCATCCTGACCACCGAGACGCTTGGTCTCCACGCCAACACGGGCGATGTAGGTCTTGCTTGTGGTGTTCCACATGGCGATGTACTTCTCCATGCAGCTAGACAGGCAGGTGTTCTCCTTAGCCGAGAGCGAGGTACCGGGGGTAGGAACGCAGGCCTTGAAGCAATGCTTGTTGATTTTCTGGGGTTGTTGTCAGTTCGTTGCCGAATTTGGATATCAAGGGTGGTGACGTACTCCGATCAGGGAGCGGGCGTTGGACATGGCGGCCTCCTGCTGGAGCTGGCGCATGACTGCTGCCTTGATCTCCTCGGAGGACTGAATAGGAGCGGCGGAGCCGGAACCGAAAAGCGACGACATTATGAGAGTGTGAGATTGGTGGAAAAGGTGTAAATGAGATGGGGTTGAATTGGATCGAATCGAAGAAAGTCGGCGGACTTCAGGATCTGAGGTGCAGGGCTGTGGCTGGTGTGGCAACTGCGCCACATCCGATGTGGACACCTTAGCATAACAAGCTGTATACTTCACCTCCTTGTCTCCACGCCTCAGGAACTTCGCCTATTCACTCTTTCTTGTCGCCTTTCCTCGACTTTCTTACGGCCTCTTTTCTTCTTTTCCTACTCGCCGGGTTTTCGGGTCCTGGTGACACCGTACCCCGTCCATCCCACCTCCAGTCTATCCTTGAAACCCTCTGGGCTCCCCTCCATTGAGGCCTAATACAATTCCACAATGCGTCTTCCGTCTATTTCCTCGCTTCTCTGCTTCGCGGGCCTGGTCGCCTTACCCGTGAACGCCTACGACGACCCAAATATCAAAAGCATCCCCGTATGTGCTCAATGTTGAACTCCGTTCCAAGCCGAGGTACTGACTTTGGACGTCTGTTAGCTTCGCACCCACAGCCTTTCTCCGGTATGATTATATTCTGAGCCTAGCTTGTCTGCAACTTCCAAAAACAAGCTGTGCATAGCTCGTGCTCCGAGGGGGAATATCAGTATTGACCACCATTAACAGCCATACCTCGATTCGGATTTCCAAAGCCGCTGGTTCGACTTCGGAGGAGATACAGTAATCCGTGCTGACAAGTAAGGATATTCCGGGAATTCAGGTATAATTTCTTATGAGCGCCAGCGCTGATTTTTGTCTTTGTGTTCAGATACGTCCGCCTCACGGCTGACCGGCCATCGCAGCAAGGATGGATCGCCTCCCGCGTGCCTCTGACCGCAACCAATTGGCAGGTAAATACACGGCCCTCGCGAATCAAAATATGCGCCAAAATCTCACATTTCCTTGTTAGATCGAACTCGAGTTCGAGATCCACGGCTCCGGCAACTTGCATGGTGATGGGTTTGCGCTATGGCTCACCAAGGAGCGCGCCACGCAGGGCCCTGTTTTCGGTTCAACGGACAAATTCGAGGGTCTCGGTATCTTCTTTGACACCTATAAGAACAACCGCCCTGGTGTGTCGTTCCCTTACGTCATGGCCATGATGGGTGATGGGCATACCACCTACGACCAGGCGCATGACGGCAAGGCAAATGAGCTGGCCGGTTGCTCTGTAAGTTAGCATTGATTCTCAGATGCTTGGGATATGCGTCTAACTGTTCACAGGCTCGTGGCCTTCGCAGCGCCCCCGTTCCCACCAAGGCCCGCCTTACCTACTTCCAAGACAAGTCCCTGTCCCTGGAGCTGCAGTACAAGAGCGAAGACTCATGGACCGAATGCTTCAATCTTTCCGCCGAGGATTCTAACATCGCCATCCCCTCTGTCGCATACTTGGGCCTCTCCGCCGAGACCGGCGAGCTGAGCGACAACCACGACATCATCTCCCTTAAGGCTGAGAACCTGTACTCCCTTAACCGCAGCAATAACAACAAAGGCAAGACCACGGAAGACCGGTCCAAGGGCCGTGTTCGCTCCTCTCCCAAGCCTACTAAGGAGCCCAAGGAGAAGAGTAGCTGGACTTGGTTCCTCTTCAAGATCGTGCTGTTCTTCGGCGCTATTGTCGGTGGTTACTTTGGCTGGACGGTCTACCGGACCAAAGCCCGGTCATCGCGTTTCTAAATTTACGTTGTATGGACGTTTGGCAAGGCGCAGAATCTAAACCTTTCTTCTGTGCGATTCAAGTTGGCCTCTGGGTTTGCCCAGTTTCTGTCTGACGAAAGGGATCTTGCATGCATAGCCCGTTTGAAGCTCTTCTTTTTACTCTGATCTACGTTCAGCTCGCACTCCATTTTCTGTTATCTTTTCTCTTCATCCTTGAAATGAATTAAAGTCATGATCATTCAAAAAAGAATTGCTCTGATATGCAGCATGATGCTTGGGGTATCAATAGTATAGTACAAGTAACAAATCAAGACGCCGCCCAATGTAGACTCCCACCTCATCACTGCTGCCGTTCTATTTGCTCGTTCCACAACCGGTCCACAATCTGAAAGACCTCCGTGACGCTGCCCATAACAGTATCATCAATCCCCAATGCGCCATAGCGATGCTGGATCTTGTCCGGATGCCAACGAATACGCTCAGCCTTCAGTATACCAAGCAACTCCGCCGGCGCCGGAGCATGACGCATGAACTCCTCAACAGCCTGCGGCCGAACATCGGCCCTCTTCCCAGAGCGAACAGGCCAGAAAAGCAAACTGCGCAACGACGTGGGAGTAGATGCCTCCGTAGCCTTCCTGATGGTCTCCCAGCTCTCCAAATACGCAGCCCAGGGCGCACTCCACTCGATCTTGGCTTTCTTGCGCTCCGCGCCTCGCCGCAGACTGGCGTCCATCGCGCGTTCAAACTCCTCCCTCCCAGACTGCGCATTCCGCTGAGCCTCCTCCTTCCTTTTCTGTTGCCGCTCGGCCCGCAGACGCTCCTGCTCGGCTAGCATGCCCTCTCGCGTCCGCTCCCACATCCGCCGACGCACGTACTCGACGTACTCGTCCTCGGTCATCTGTTCTAGCTCGCCCTCCGGGCCTCGTTGTACGTCCGGGACGCGGTAGTTATGGATAGGCTGCCCGTAGACAGATTCCCAGTAGGCAGCGCCTTCATCGTCGCCTAGGGCATCGAAGAGCGATTCTCGGAAGGTATCGCTTGTTGAGTTAAAGGGGTTTTCAGGGGTGGGGTCGGGCTCCTTGTCCTCGCGATGGCGCCGCTTAGAGGACTCGCCGTCTCGCTCGCGCGATCGGTGACGATGGGTTCGTTTTCGGTGTGGACGACTACCATCTTTGAAACGAAATGCCCGGCTGTGGCTCGCACGGGCGTGTTCTTTGGGACGGGGGTTTGGTTGGTGAGATTCGTTGGGGTTCTCGGTAGGTTTGGTGGCTTGAGGGTGCTCTGGAAGATGGGATGCCCCAGGCCTTTCGGTCGGTGGGGGGTTGGAGTGATCCATTGCAAATATCTTTCAGTTGCCGGAGCAGCTCCAATCAACCGATCTCATTGGAGTCACTAACCTCGGGATAAAGCATCAGGTGAATGTCAAAAAGTAAACCTTGGAATGAGCCTTATCTGAGATGCTCGGAGATAATGTGTCTTAGTCATCTTATCTCCACCAGCCCCACCAGACAGGACATCCATGAAGAGAACAAACGGTGCAGGCTTAATTATCTTGGAAACGGCTGGCCGTTGCACCGCGCACAATTGTCGTATGAAAATGATACAAGATATTCAGAGTTAAAAGCGCTAGCTAGTTGTTTTTAATTTTTGCCTAGGTATTTGCTTATGTACTCGTAGAGTCATCTATGGATCATTAGAATATATCCATGAATAGTCGTCGCGTTATACTAACGGAGCATGTCATTACCTCGTGGTATAATCTTCGAATCCTTATCACGTTATAGTAATAAGTAGGTGTCTCCTCGGGCTCTTCTATATTGCTAAAGCTAGGAAACGTGATATCGACATGAGCAAAACGAATTAGAGCTGAAGTGAAGATTCGGTTGGAGGTTCATTACCTACCTTGGGACTAAGTAAAGTGAGAGATGGCTATAGATGAGAGATATACCAGATGAGGGCTCATAACAGGCTATAGAGTGATAGCCAAAAGATTTAAGTTGGGTTGAAACTTCTTTAAGAAGTCAGAGACTAGATATAAATATGACTGAAGAAAGATAAAAGGAAGAGGAAAGAAAATGAAGGCCATTTAATGTTAGTAAACCTGTAACTAAGGGGTGCCGCCGCATAACTATGTGGTTAGTGAGATACTTACTTACTTAACTAGTTAAAATAATTGTCAAGGTTATGCCTGGGCGCACGTCTCTTCCGCTCGGCCAAAAGACCATTATGTCAGAGCTCTCTCGCTCTGACATGCCCAGGACCAATATATATAGTAGCGCATATAGTTATCCGTGACAACTGGTTCCTCAGGCCACATTACCGGAGTGTCTCGATTCGACCTATCCCGTCTCTCTTTGGATCTCTTGTTTCATACCAGCTTGTATTAGCTGACCCCTCACCTACATGTCCGTGTGCGAAGATATATAACGTATTCGGTAAGCGAGCTAGGCATGTAAGCGAGAGCCAGGCACATCTTCCTATTTGGGCCTTGACCATAAATCACGAACGCAGAGCTCAAGTATATAGCGGAAACAGCCTTGCAACTCTTAGTGGGAAATATTCCCACTGATACCGACTAGGTTATCGGTTTCTTTGCTGCATAAGATGATGCATAATAATATCATATTAGGCTTTAACGTCTCCTGGGCATCTTCCCAATTTTTCTGACGTATCTACTTTAAATTTGGATTTTTGACAAGTATTGTAGTAGAAATTGTGTCATTTTTTGAAGAAGCTAAGCTAGGGCTAAGAATATAATTAGCAAAACATGAACAGGTGGACTTAGTTCTGTTCCTCTTTCCAGACTTTGCGTGAGATATATTCCAACGAAGCAACCGAGATCTGTAGGTCACGCTCCGGCGGAACTGGTGAACGACAGAACAACTCCTCAAACTTAATACCTAAAGGTTATGCGGGGCTAGTGGTGATAGGAGCGCTATGTTGACTCGGTTCTCGGGAGGTGATGATCGACTGCCGCGCGATTGGGGTGTAACGCACTGGGTCTAGAATAATCGCCTGAAACGTGATTTTTAGAGCTTTGCGATTAACGGACACGGTTATCACAATCTTAACGTGCCCCTTAGAGTTGGAAAGCCACCATATGGCATCGGCCTTTAGCTTTCGGAATGATTCTGACACGCCGACCTCGACCACGACACATGGCCCTTTTGGGATAACCTGACTGGTCGTTAGCGTATTAGGTACTAACGACCAGTCAGGTTCTTTAGAACAAATATTACCCTTAACGCGTGTAGACCCTTGCCCCATAATTGATATAGATAGATCTACTGCGAATTAGGAACACACGATTATTTTTTGCACTGAATTAAACCAACGGTCCAATATTACTCATTACACAATCTGGCGGACCAGTATTCGGGAAAAGAATCGCAAAAGCCAAAGATACGAATTGAGCATCATGGTGCAAAATCACTACCTCCAACACAGATCGACATAGTTGGTAGGATAACGTGCGTGAGAAAAAGCATGTTGGATGCTAAGTTTAGTTGCCACCGCAACTAATCCTCTCATGCAGTCTGTCGGATAATACAAAACCCCACAAATTTACAGAACTCCAACAGATTGCCAGGAAGATTTCACAATGGGGCTCACCAAGTTTCCAAACATATTCTGTGCGTGGTCCAAAGTGACCTCCGCAAATTCCTTGAATGTTGACTTGGGATTCACACGCCGGTCTGTGAGGGACTTGTACCAGATTTGTCCCGCACGCTCCCAGGAATGGCCGCCAAGACCAATCGCAGTGAGGTAGAAAGCATGATTAGGAATTCCCGAATTGTAATGCACACCACCGTTATCTTTATCGGTTGTGACATAGTCGCGCATGTGGGAGATTTGAGGATCTTTGCCCAAGTTATCATTGTAAGCAGTACCCGGAGCCTTTAACGAGCGTAACGCAGCCCCCTTTCTTGCCACTGGGAGGATATTCTGTCCTAGAATCCAGTCTCCCTGTGCTGATGTTTGACCAAAGTGCCATTGCTCAGCCATACAAGCAAATACATCAGATATTGATTCATTCAAAGCACCGGGTTGATTCTCATACTTGAGTTTCGCTGTGTACTGGGTTACGCCGTGTGTGAGCTCGTGGACGATGACATCTAGGGAGTCGGAGAAGTAGTCGAAATACTTTCCATCACCATCTCCAAAAATCATCTGGCGGCCATTCCAGAGGGCGTTGTTGTAGTCGTGGCTATAATGCATAGAGCAAACAAGGGTAAGAGAAGCATTATCGATAGAGTTTCGCCCAAACACAGTAGCAAAAAAATTGAAGGCTATACCCAAACCATTGTATGCGTTGTTCACAGCCCTATCTTTTAATTCTGGTCCATTCTCCGGTCGAACAAGTGACCCTGGAAGACTTGCGGTTTCTCTGCAGTCGTAAATCTGGCGGGTTGGAGACAAAACAGCAAGATCTGCCGTTTTGGCACGCTCACGACGAATTTCACGATCCTGTTGCAGATTTTGCTGGGCGCTCTCACGGGCCTGAGGCTCGGTAGCTTCAGCATCCACAAGGGCCTCAGTTACATAAGGAGGGATGAACCCAGGCGTTGCTTCTTCGGGCAGGACCTGACGGCCGCTGCGAATATCATTGTCAATATCTTCTGCTTCACTGGCAGATCGAGGTGCTTCAGACGAGTCTGCGATTGCTTTGAGCAAGTAGGGCGGGATGAAACTGCACATATAATTGCCATGCCCTGACCCTGAGTTTTCGTCACGTTCCATAGTTACGTACTCAGCAGTGTTTCGGGTAATAGCAGAAGAAATTTTCCCGATAGTCTAGTTAGACTAGCAAAAGAACCACGGTAGTAAAGGTAGACAATTGAAATCTTTCATAAAGAAAACGAAGAGCCTTCTCAGGTCTTATAAGCGTATCGGTCGGGGGGCCTTCTGTAGACCGTTAGCTTGATTGAACAGTCTGCTGACCAAAAGCGCCGGATTACGATTTATATGCGTTAAGATAGACTAATCCATGGTAATATATGCTCTCGATGGTGGCGAGAATACAAAGCACGTCACTAATTGTTGAAATTGTCAATGGCGGGAGCCGGCTTGACATAAACTGGTTAGAGCACGCTAGGGCACGGATGATAAGTGGTAAACCATCATTCTCAATACTAGCGTACGTTCTAGAGATATCCTTAGATCAAGGTTCAGATAAACTGCTCTATGGTCGACTGAGGGTCTAGTCAGTAGCCGAACAAGTGTTAAGATGTCTAGGCCAGCGCGACTATGGGTTCGGAAATCGGAATGGGGTGATTGATTGGCTCACTCCTACATACTCCACAATCTAGATTAGAGGTTACGCCGTAGTGTCGAAACTAGATTACTCTAGATCATGCAAAACTTTTGCATTTCTGGTAGGTTGGCAAACTGAGAGATCAGGAGACCTCTAGCCTTAAGCCAAGTTCAGTCAACTCTGCCAAGGCGTCTAGAATTCAAACCCCAGCTATTTTCGGGACATCAAGAGACTAAAGGCTACGTTTAGATCCTGGAAACATGAAAGTCTATGCTGATCTACCAGCCATAACGGCTGCCCCTCTAAGGTTATTTCCTGAGGTAATATAGATCACAGTTGTATTTTTTCTACTTTTCCATTTTCTCAGATTTGAGACATTGATGCCCCGTAGTTGCCTACACTTTTTGTAGGTCATCTGCCCGCGGAAGCCTCGATTAACTTTGAAACATTACAACGGAATATCATCGAATGGACTTGGAAATTGAATCGTCCAGCAACCGTCTACTGCCGGCAGCGTTAAAATAAGCTTTTGTCGTGTCAACTTCAAAGAATATATTGTAACACGGTAGGCTTTTGGGATGATCCAACAGAGTCAGGACTAGGCCTTGACAAGTCCCGCCGATTTGGTCCCGCGCTTGGCAAAATGGAACAGTTGTAATGTTTTGCTTATTAGTAGGTGGTACCTTTGCACCAATGATGCTATTATTAGTCATGACTTGGAATACTACACATCAAATCCGGTCGGGGCAGGCCGAAGGCCAATCGAGATTCTGCTTTGTACCATCCAAATTCTGACAGCTGAACTCAATATATATTCACCTATCATTAGGTCTACCATCATCGATATCTGAAGATGAAGATAGCAATAAAGATTGCTCGACCTATATGACCTGAAGAGATGACCAAGTTATCTTTTTGTGACATAGGGTCAGAACCTGACGTCGAAGACGAAGTAAATCGATTAAACATTTCATAGATCATCTGTAACCTATTGTGGACTGGCGTGGTTTCGGGTTCGGGCCGAGAAACAATGCGTGTGTCGAATCTGGTTTCGACTCTCACTGTAACCCCGGGCTGTTGGTTGTTGTTTCCCTTCTGACGTCGTGTTGGGACTGGGATGATTGGCGGCCTCTGGCCAAGCCGAACATGACGCGAACACGGTTCCGCTCGTTGGATCGTGTTCCGGCTAGCGCCAAATTGGGTAATTTATTGATTTAATTATTTGGTCAAGTACCAGGCATATCTTGGCATATCGGTATTCAAAGGATGTTTCCATAAAAGGAGTAAGAACTAATGACTAGATAAATCTCATGTCAAGTAAACCTAATGAAAATCAATACTGCGTTGTTATTTAAGATCAATATTTGACTAAGGAATCTTGCCTTTTAAACCAACCTTCGACCATAAATTTATACTTCCAGCGACCCATGTGTTTATAGTATTGCCTGTTCTTTACACGCCTTTCCGCAACTGATTTATTGTTTGCCCTCAGGTTAATTTAAGATTTAGCGTCCGAAGCAGATGATCGCTGCCATTTTCGGGTGCGCCACATGACGCACGTCGATCACCCGAGCCCGCACCGCAATCTTAGGCTAGAATCGTCCGTTCACCTATCCGTGGTTCCTTATCACTGTCAAAGTCACACTCCGCTTGCGCATAATCAATCGGAATCACTTCAAGTTGTTTGTCGCACAGCCCATATGTGGTAGTTGTTCCTTCTGCCTAGTCGTCGTTCGAGCTCCAGCTATATTACGCGCGGATCTCGACGAACTAGTTCTAGACTGAAAGGGGAGTCAACAAAGAAATTGAGGAATATGGCGCGAGAGTCGATGATGTCTGAAAATCGATATGGCGTGCGTGGGTGAGGAGAAATTTGCCCGGAATAGGTCATCATATCATCATAATATTTAGCGACAAGGATTCTAGATGATTTGGTCCACTGAAATAGCGTACTCTGCGTAGAACTCGTACTGCTTTACTTCGTCTATATATTAGCTTGTAGGTAGTGCGGAACACCTGCACTTTGTTTAACAACAGTCATTAAGCACAATCTTGGTCTGCTCGTGTAATAACACTTACTCTATTACCCGAGTCGCTCCGTTCACGCCCTGCGCCCAAGCTCTCAATTATCATAGGTCTCTTCTCGCGGCCGATCATTCGCCATGACTCCCACGGTCGTCTCTCCAACACAGGCGGTGCCAAATATGACGCCCGACTACGAGGTCAGGGTCTTACTTAACCCGACCAAGGTCCTCAGCTCTGAACATGAGCTAACAAAAACCGTCCTATCGACTTTTGATATGGACCCCCCGACCATCACCAAGATAAATGTCCAGTTCCTCGACACGTGCTCCAAGGATATCTATACAGCCGGCTGGAGCCCCCGCATACGCAAGACCGAAAACGAGGACGAGTTTGAGCTGACGTATAAGAAGCGGTATGCTATCACGGGTGGCGACATTGACGCTGCTCTTACTACAGCTAATACCGATGGTTTCGACCACGGCGACAAGAAATATAAGGCGCAAGTCGAATGGGGATACCGCAAGCAAACACTTTCTATCAGCCGCAAGAAAACGATAGTGGATTCTGGGAATAGCGGAACGGACTTGCCAGGAACAAGCAAGTCGCGTAAAATGTTGATCGACGAAGCGCCGGACAAGTTCGACAACTGGTATCACAAAAAATGGGGCACTAGCGCGTTAAAAATATCACGCATTTTTGGTCCGGTCCTCGTCAAGCGCTCCGTTGGCAAGTGGAACGGGATGCCGCTATATATCGAGGTCTGGCCCATCCTAAAGTCTGAAGGTACGGGCATTGAGTACATCATTGAGGCTTCTTTCAAGACAGAGAACCGCACGACAGCCTCGGCCGAGCTGCACAACTTAGTCGCCAAATTGAAGAGCGAGGATTGGTTTCTCCCAGAGGACTCGCTAAAGACGCAGCTTATTATGGAGCGCTACTGATATGGAAAAGTTGTTAGCTTCCGCGATGAAGGGTCCCGAAGAATGGATTATTGGTTGTATATCAGGTACTATTGCCAAGGCCAATTATGGTAAGCGGAAGGGAAAACTGTTATGGCAAGCTAGCCCAGTGTGGGTAAACTGCCTATCTGGTTGTAGGGAGGTATTCAAGGTAGCCCTCTGGTCTTAGTTCTTTGTTCGCTATCGTGAAAATTGCGCTGGGTTTGTTTCTTGTTAGTATATTCACTCTCTTATAAGCCTCATAATATTTGGTTAGTCCGTAGCAAGCAAGCCACAAAAAATGTTCTTTGTCCAGCAAACAAAAATACAGTAGCCACCGGTATCGCCCTCCATGTCGGGAACAGAGAGATGCTATTTCAAACCCTAATCATATGATACGCTAATCCATATATGAATAGCGCGTAAATTATTCGTTTTGTAGCTTACCAAGTAATAATACCAGACGTTTCCTGATCCAGACCTCTATAGTCACGGTTCTACGCCTTCCAATTCCGGATAAACACCCCGAGTCTAACCAAGCCGGGCTCACCTTAAGGGGAAGATCTTGCGTGCAAGGAACTAACTGGACGCCATATGGCTCACTGCCCAATTATATAAAGCATCCGTGTATTGGTAACGTCATTACTACGTCCCAATTAGCGCTGTATGGATTCATCAAGCACCGTCAGGATAGATAAGAGACAACTAGTTGATCAAGGTCAATCTCCGCTTGGATTCAACTATTTTTCAAGGAAACTACAAAGCAATATTCACTTCAACCTTCAACCGTCAACCGTCCCTATCGATGCTATACAAGTTGCGCTGTGGCCATTTACGAACACAAAATGAAGGAAGAAACTAGGGCAGGCAGTGGTCTCACTGTACGGTGAAGAGCTACTAAAGTAGGTATAGCGGCAGGGATATACTACTTTATCTTTGCAACTGTGAAGGATTACTTGTCTACTGGTTATAAGTACTACGGCCTCCTCTTTCCTATAGTATATATATTATTATATGCTGTGGGAGGTTTCTTATATGTCAGTATAGGTAATGCAATATAACTTACCTTGCAAACATATACTTTCTGTGAAATAATTGCTATACTTGTATATATTCAGTATCAAGTTCCTTCGGTCATAAAACAGGTCCTATGGATCAAGTTATAACGCATCGTTCCATCATTCGGACCGAGTTAAGCAGTTGTGTTCTGACGCGAGAGTCATATTGCTATATCTGCCGCCTTACTCTCCGGATTTCAACCCCATTGAGGAGTTTTTTGTTGAGCTGAAGGCTTATATCAAGAAATCTTGGCCAAATTATGAAAGGGATCCCGACCAAGGGTTCCGTGCCTTCCGTCAGCGGTGCGTCCATGATGTTGGTGCAAAAGAGCAGAGCGCTAAACGACATGCAGGTATAACGATAATGAAATGGTGAGTGGCCGACGTGCCAGAAAGCGAGGCGTGTGCAAGAAATGGTGTCATACCAAGGGGAGACAAGCCCGTTCTCTGAACCACTTGCGCATATCAAACCCAGATCCCCCCATGAGGTCGTCTTCTTTGAATACTATTGACTCAAGGACCTCAAAGGACAAAGCAGACAGGCTCAATTCTGGATCAAGAGAAGGTAATTATATGCACAACCTGTACTCTGGCGGGTCCTCCAAGACTCGAGAGATATCTCGCTCTTTGGGGAGTTTTTAATGTACTCATACAACACCGTGAAAATACCCTGAATCTGAATTGTTGTCATTGAAAAATGCACAGGTTTACCTGTGCATCTATGCAAGGGGAATACTGTAGTGCCTGCGAGGCGTGCCTTACCACCCCCCTTCACCGCAAACTTTCCTTGGTGAGCTTCCTATGTTGAACTGACGGCGGTTGATGGTCAGTTTAGGTATTTATTGGTGAGTCTGTTTATGACGATTTGTCACCGCCGATATGCTTGTTGGTAAACGATTTTTAATTGGTGCCATTCTAGTATGAGCATCTGCCGGTGCATTGAGACTTTGGCGCTATGTCCTCGATATATTCAAAGTAAACAGCGCTTTCATGTACGGAATGTCTACAGAAAGCGGATGGCAGGAGATACAAGCAGAACTCATGTGGGCCCAGATGCACAAGGACCATTTTCTGGAACAGAAGTTATGCTGCTACCTACCTCCACTTATTGTCCCACCCAGCCTGCTCTACGGCAAATGCAATGGCTAACTCGCTGAACCTCGCCATGTGCTGTAGCATTGTCTCAGCAGATATTCACTAAAAAGGGGGCGGAAACTAACGTCAACAGAAAAATGTCCCGTTTCATCATCGATCCACATGGTGTCGTTAACCCCGTGAATGTACGGATCGTATTCACCAATTAAGCCACCGGCAGCGGGATTTCCCTCGGAAGCAAAAGAAGACGGATAGTTGAGTTTTGTGTAGGACATGTAATCCGAATATGCATTCCTGCTTGATCAGATGAAATTTCCAATTTGCGAGAGAAGAGCCAACTTACCCCGGGAGATCATAGACCTTGGCGGGGATGGAGAGGTATTTGTTGCTCAAATTGACCGCCCAGTCCGTCAGAACTGCATCGGCTTCCGTAGATATGAATCCGATAGTCTCCGTGGCATTCTTGGCAATAAATGCCGTCATGTCCTTCACAAATTATCTGCCTTAAGCTTAAGTTATAATCGAGTCCGGGTAACTCACAAATTCCATCATTGCGCCAATGTGCGCTCCTTGTTCCTTTTTGTACCGAGCAATAGCTTGACTGCCTAGTAAGCCACCTTCCTCCGCAGCATACCAGTGAAATTCGACCGGGCCATCTTTGGGAGTGAATCCGGCTTCAGCCAGAACGCGAAAAGCCTCAAGAATACTGACGGTGCCAGAGCAGTCGTCGTCCGCGCCGGGGGCCGGCAGGAGTGGAAAGAGATAGTTAGCAGAATCTTGGTGCGCACCGAGGATAGTTAAAGGATGCGAGAAGTTGCGGACTTTTGGCTCGAAGCGAGCGATGATAGAGGGTTGGCGGAAAGAGTGGGTAAAGTACTCTAGCGAGATGTGGGTGTGAAGCGGGGAGGCGGCAATGATCTGATCCATGACCTGTCAATCCTCTTCTTCGTGGATCCACTAGTGGAGCTTAGATCGCATACTTGAGAAATATGGTCATGAAGCCATTCAGAGCTTAATTCTCCGTGGATATCGTCGAAATAACGGTTATAATAGCCAGTCATTTGCTTGAGCACATCGAGCATTCTTCCTGTATCGATGTAGGGGAAAAGAGATCGGATAAGTCTCTCATGAACCAGCTCAGGGGTATCTAGCAAACATTGTTAATTGATCATCTGGAATGCTGGCCAGAAAGCTCACTTGGCTTCTCGGCCGCCGCATCGTGCACCTGCTCCGCATAAAACTCTTCATGTTCAGTGATATCCATGAAATTTGTCCCATTTCTACGCAGTCGCATTTTGTCTCCCTCAGTCATCCACTCTGGCTTGGCTGCGCCCATAATCTGCAAGAGACGCGGCTCAGCCAGTACCGCTTCAGTCTCCGCTCGAACATCCTCACTCTGGAGCGAGACATACGCGGCGACTGGGTCTGGGTGGTTCTTTATTGCAGCCAATATTCTCCCATCGACACTGTGATCGCCGTGCGGGGGCGACACACTCGCGGCCTCGGCGATCGGAGAAAGGACGAGTTGCGCGTCCAACGCCGCCGCTGAGAGGTTGGCGATGCCTAACAGATATGCTATGATGGACTTTTGCATGATGTGATAGGATACTTGAGCAGTCGAAGAGTTGGAATAGTTAAGTGGGCATCTCAAAGCGCTATTTGCAGCCCCGGACCACGCACGTCAGCACGGACGAAGCTAGACTGGGTGAAAAGATAACCGTCCAATCAATTGCTGTAAAGCACAGTCGAAACTTATAACGTACCACTGAATGTAACCCTCAGCATTAGTAGGAGCACATGACTTAGCGTCGCTGCAGACCGTTGAATATGTATATCAGATAACTTCACCACATGAAACAACTTCGCCCTTTGGGCATCACATCTCAACATCTCAATCACAAACGCGATGACTGCCTTGATGACTTGAATGTCAGGATTCCATGGTCTCCTATTCTGTTCGCTTCTCCCCTCTATACTCTCCAATTTACCGCCCAGCATGTGTGACAAACTACCGAAGTTGGAATATTAATGCCTGATTTCTCACATATATATCTCAGTTTCTACACCACTATCAGAAGTAAAAGCCGCAGAGAGACGCAAGGGGGATACGATCATCCAAAGAGGGGGGGGGGGGGTTAATATATCAACACCCTTAACATATTACAGACAATAATCCGAGCAGCCACCTGAGGTTCTCTAACATTGCACTTCTTGGATGAATACATATTAAAATCCAAATGCGACTTGAAAGCTTGATTAAATGTTGAATGTTCATTGTTGAATAAGGTGAAAGCTGTAATATGCCTGTACAACGCCATTCCTAACCCGAAGTCCAAGCCCCACACCCCAAACGCAAGTCCATGCCCGAAAGAAAAGAGAATCAAATGCGATAATGTGCCATATTCTTCTTGATCTCATCCACAATCTCCACAGCCTCATTGGTACTCCTTGCCTCAAAGTCATAGCGCTTCTGTTCCGTGGCATCATTGCCGCGCACGATCATCACCCGGAAGCTCTTGGGGTGCCGTCGGCTGACCTTGGATCCGATCACGTCGCTGAAGCTGATTGATCGGGTCTTACCACCAGACGCCGTTTTGCCCGTATCACCGGGCACGATATGCATATAATCATTTTCAAACGTGAGGATCCGATGGTTGGATGCTGTGAAAGACATAGGTTGTTTGCGGAACACGTGGTACCGGCGGTAGTATCCGCCTAGGTGGTCTTGTTTCTGAGAAGATGAGGGCAACATGCGCTGGGCGCCCTTCTTGGCCTCCTTTTTGCTCTTCTTGGAGGTTGTTGGGTCGGCGGTTTCCACCATCAAAGGCGCGTTCGGTGATGAGCTGCCTGGCGAGGTTCCGAGTGCGAGGGGCCCCCGCCGAAGCGACGACGCACCAGATCAAGTTCTGTGATGCTGCCCAATGCCTCCACTGTGCGGTCGAGTGGTGCGATCGTATTCGACCCCATCACCTTTAAGAGGTAGTTGCCCTTATCCTGGCCCCATCGTTTACACACAGAGTCCAGGATCTCGGCTATATAGCTGTCGGTAGATGTGTTGATGGTCATGACATGTGCGGATGCCTCCATGTTGATGAAGCGAATCTTCAATGTCTTGGAGACACCAAGACGGGGAGTGGCATGCGAGATAGGTACCACGGGGCGGTCAGCAGGAGTAAGAGTGCTGTGGTTGAGCGCAGACGAGAATGGATGGCCTAGAATGGGGTTTGCTCGGGCTGGTGTGGTCTGAGGTGTCTTTTTCTGTGCAGCGGGTTGAGTCCCTGGTACTGCAAGATTCGCTGGCTGATCTGCCTCTTCCGACCCAATGCTTGAACTAAATTGTGGATACAGCCGTTCATTCTCCTCAAACTCCGATTTCGATGCTTCAACTAGTGCGAATTCATCGTACGGCTTGCCCCTTGACCGTCCTCGGGACTTGGCAGATTGGTTGTTGTTTGACGTAAAATCCGTCATTGGAAGTGTCCGCCCAAGCGCTGGGAAGTCATATTCGACCTCGCCATCATCGACCATCCGAAGCGTCCATCGGTTCACGGTCAAATTTTCGCGATCAATTGCTGGACCGCGAGCATCCGCTGAATATTTCCATAGGGCAAGACCAATCGTCTCAGCAACAGTCACTTGTGCGGGCTGTTCTGCAAGCTTAGACTCGCGTGTAAGTGGCAGATCCAGCGGGTCTTCAGGGTCGTTTGAAAAGGGGACGTAGATCTTCAAATACAACGAGTCCTCTTGACCTCGCCCAGAGAGCACCACGAATTTATCCACTGGATTGCTTGGTGCTCGCTTCCGGGACGTAAGCTGGCTGGTCAATAAGCTGACCGGCTGTATCATGCTGATAGGCCGTGGCGGGGGAAGATCTTGCAATGCAGGAGCCGGAGTGCGATGCTTGCGCGGTGAGTTATTCTGCGGCCCCGTGCCAGAGGGCAACTTGTTCATCATAGTCATGGGCGAGGACAAATTCAAACCGCCCGCCACGCCTGCCAGCAGCAGGGAGCCAGATCCAGCAGTATTGTCAAAATCAGAGGAAAGTGCAGACCCAACAGACTCAGCACCGGAGTCCTCGTCCTCGTCCTCCTCGTGGAGTTCTCCGAGGGCCAGGCTCTCTGCGCCTCGACTGCCAGCTCGCTCACGCCGTCTGCGCGAATACTCGACGACCTGATCACTCGCGGAAAATTGAACTTGTCCTTGTTTGTAGCCTCTAAGGTCGGTCTCGTTATCCGTCGACAGATCACTGCTAGTAGTTGTATCTCGACGGGGGCGTGGTTTTACTTGGCGGTATTGATTGGCAAGATTTTGTGTTGACGCAGATGTGATCATCACTTCTGGCCGTTCCCTCTGATCTCCAGAACGCATTGGAGAGGAGTCTGCTCGATCTCGGCGGATGGGCATCTTGTCGAATTTGATCTGATCGATAGCACTGTTCTTTGGTCAGATAGGGAAGTAGAATACTACACAATAATTCACCAACCTGCCAACGTTGTCCCCATCGTCGTCGCTGTCATCACTCAAATCGCTGCTATCGTCGTCCTCTGCTTCCGCTTGTCTCTGGACCTCTTGTTGCCTTTCCCGTCGAGTTTTCTTCTTTCCGCCGCGTGCATGATTCCGCCGCGCGGTCATGTCCGTATGGCTCTTGCCGGTCACCATGCCACCATCATCCTCGCCGTCTTCCAGCCCGAGGCCTTGTAATTCGTGGCGTTGGGGTTTTGCATTTCGTTCTGCTAGTCTGTAATATTCGGATGAAACGTTTGCCGTGGTTGGAATCGGTGGGGAGTAAGTGCGCTTCAGGTGGGAGGAGCTGAGCGTGTTGGGGTACGCGGCGGCGGTTGACCAGCCCGCCGCGCGGAAGCCAGGTGTATTCAGGACAGAGTCATTGACGTTGATCAGTCGGTCCCCAATTCCATCTTTGATTGTCGAGAGATATGAGGAGCGTAATTGCCAGATTGTAAAGCTATACTCGGGTTAGTCCTTGGAGACCTTTCCGCGGCGATTTGAAAGGGGGAGGTCGCAATTCTGGACGCGACTTACTCTTCATTGTGAAGAAGAGACATCTTCCCGGCTCTCACGAGGACATATATCTGTAGTAGCCCAGGGGTGTGCTACGCAGTAGCGACCGAGGTCGGGATATCCCACAGCAACTCGAGCTAAAAGCGCATGCTCGGGGCAATAAAGGGAGGAATGAAAACGAATGAGACTAGCTCATACAGGACCAGCCTGGAAAAACAGATCAAAAGATAAAGATATCAAGAAAGGAGAGAAAGGTGGGAAAAGAGAGTTGTATGCCAGAAGCAAGAAGAGAGGGAACTTGGTGTTCTCCGCAGATCATTTCCCCGCCAAGGGGGTCGGGTCGGTCACACTACCAACTCCTCACCTACAAGATACATCGATGTCTAGTTATAGGTACATACAACATTTGACGAATCAATTATTTTGCTGGCCAGGTGGCTATGCTCTCAATCTCGAGGAATATACAGAATTCTGTTGGCCTGTGAAACATATTATACTACTATATTCAACTACTTTGCCTCAATGGCATGGGTGGCTGATGACATGACAATAACCTTGCATTGAGATTCAAATAATCGAACAAGACTAAGGTCTTTGAATATCCTCGAGATTGTACCTAGAAAGAAAACACGACACTTTCCCCAATTCCAGTGAGCTGATTTGCCGCCGCCAATGCCTCCTTCCATTGATCCAGACCAAATTGGCCGACAACATAGCAGCCATCCTCTTCTTTCAGGCCAAGATTCCCCTTCTCTACCATCTTGATCAGTGCAAGAACATCCTTTCGCTCATACATCCAGTTTCCCTTCAATGTGATATTGCAACGTGTGACAAAGAGATTTGGGATCTCAAGCTCCTCATAGGCACCCATCAGACTCACCCGGCCTCCAGGCCTAAGCGACATAATGCCGGATATGAGATGGAGAGATCCTCGGGCTCCTGGAGGAGAAATGTCGAGGAACGCATCCATCGGTCCAAACGTTTTAATGTTGCGGACATCTTTTGTACTGTCGCCTGTCCAGGTTATCGTGGAGATCCTTTCGCACGAACCGTTGTGAGTGCGTGATAGGATTTGATTGAGATGGACAAGCTTAGTATTATCGTGAGACCAGGCTACAACTTTTGCACCTAATATTCAGTTAGCCAAAACTCTTGATTATCCAGGGATCTCTTTGATGGCCAAGAAAGATATTACCCATAGCCAAAGCAACCATGCAAGCAGCAACGCCGTTTGGAGAAGTGGCCGGAGAAATCAACACCGTTTCACCAGGCTTCACATCAATGCTAGTCAGTCCCCCGAAAGGCCTGAGGAATGTTGCAATCGCACAAAGTTGTGCTGGGGTATATGAAAAGCCCCACTTCATCGGATCTCCCATCAACTTAGCCTCATCCAATGGATAGCAGTTCTCAAGTGGTGCCCTCATAAACTCGGCATATGAGCCATCTGCGAAACCGCTAGCGGCTAGTATTTCCTTGCTTTTAGAGTCAAACCCATGATATACAGGATTGGAAAATCGAACCGTCTCTGGGTTATCTCTTCCTTTCATGACTGAGTCAAAGAAGACTAGTTGACCAACCTTCAAAGTGGTTGCATCATCACCGACTCGGTTCACACGGGCAATTGCACTTGAGCCGGGAATAAATGGTTTTTCATGAGGAGATCTCCCAGGGTTGTAAAAGTCGAAGCCAAGCTTGCTATAGGAGTGGAGCGGCGTTGCGAGGACACGCAGAAGAACACTTCCTGGCAGTAGGGACGGGATAGGAACTTCTTCGACTTGAGGGTCAGTAAATGGAGCGGGCCTAAGAATGAGAGCACGATGCGTGGTTTGAATCCTCGGAAGGAGTTTTCTGTACTGGATGTTTGGACGATGAGTGTCCGGAGAACCTGTAGAAAGACAGTTGAGTGTTTATATCCATGATGAGCTTGAATAATTGACGTACTTAGGGTGACATCGTCAGAGCCACCAGATTCGGAGACACCAGTCATCTTGGCGTGCAGGAGCAGGTCTGCGCAAAACAAGGGTTGAGACAGCAAGAACTGAGATAAAAGAGGTGGAAGAGTTTGAAAGCAAAAGAGCTCGGCACTCGCGAAGGGTTAGCCTTAGTGGGAAAACAGTGAGAGAAGAAATAAGTCCCAAGACACGTCAAGATGTAAACAAGAATTAAATTGGTGTGCTCAGAGATATCAGATTGAAATGCACCAACACCACTAAAACGCATGCTTCTTTACAAAATGGTAATATGTTACAAAATGATAATCTCTCAAGCCTTGGCCTTGGCCCTACTCTTACGAGCCTTCTTTGGCTTTTCCTCATCGGCATCAATATCATCATCGGCCTTCTTGGTCTTCTTGCCCTTAGCCGGCGCCTTCTTTTTCTTAGGCAAGCTCACATACTTGTCCTTCTTCAGATCAAGTTCATCCTCGTCCTCATCCTTGATCTCTTCAACAACTTCTTCTTCATCGGATCCTTCAATGGCATCTTCAATATCAGGCTTCTCTTTCTTTGAATGCTTAGGTGCCACGACATTGCTGGCCTTCATGAATGGCATGGGGTGCGAACGCGAGTTGTACAGGCGCGTGAAGGTGGCTTTGGTCTGTGTCTCAAGTTTGATCTTAGACTCGTCCATTGGGCCGAGTCCTAGTTCAACCATGGAGTCGAAGTCTTCACGAGTGAGATAGTATTCATCCATAAGATCGATGACCGAGTCGACACAGTCCTTGCCTTCGTCCATCATTCGGCGTATCATTTTCTCCTGGAGCAAAGGCAGGTACTGCTGACGGATCTCGTCGCGGTTACCTGTGGTACGAAGACGCATGTGGCCCTGTATTTCCTTGACGTATCGGGATAGTTTGCCTGAAGAATAAATCAGTGAGAGAGTGTATACCGACGATGGGTGAATATCCAAAACATACCATGTTTGCTATTGTTGCCCAGCCAGCTAGTAAATGCAGGCCGTTCATTGAAGTTTCCGTATTGGAAGCTGGCTGGCCGCACAAAGCTGAAGATCGCATGGGTAGGCATAAGACTCCACTGCTGCTGGGTGCCGTGGATCATGCGGTCGACGAGGTCACCATCGCTGATACTCGAGGCGGCATTGTCCTGCAATTCAAGCGACTTCAGTCGCTGTTCTAGGCCCTGATATTTCCCCGCAAGAGCGGGTTTAGTCTTGAGGTAGTTCTCCTGAAGCATCAGGTAGCTGAACTCATGGTCGTTGAAATAAAGCTCGACCTTGTCGTTCAGGGTAGATGTGGAACTCGGGGAAAACATTTGGGCGCTGAGAATTTTGCTGACAATATCCCACGGCTTGAGGATGATATTCTTCTCCCACGACTTTGACATTTGCTTGCCTTCGTCATAATTGAGACCCTTTTGATCCAGTCTTGCGGTGGAAAGCATGTTGATGACCTGGCGGATATCGGCATGTGTTCCTTCAATGAGGCCGTCAAGTACAGGAGGCGGAATCTTGAGGCCTTCTCGGAAACAAATAGTGGACAGTCTTGCCCGAATTTGCTCAGCAGTCGGGCGTCTGAATGGCACGTCGTAGGTGATGAAGTCGAAAGGTTTCATCTTTGGAAGCTTTCGCTCATTGCAGATAAGGATGATTGGAATCTTGGTCTTCTTGACAATGGCTGCGACAGCTCCCACACCTCCACGATCACCTGCAGACATGCCATCAACCTCATCCATGATGAGTACGAGCTTTTTTCTTCCACTCTCCACTTGCTTGCCTTGTCCGGCGAAATATCCTTGCAACGATGTTGTATCTAGCACACCCAGGGTAGAACTCTCGACAAGCTTCTTACTTCTGGTGTCACTGGCGTTGGTCTCCACGATATCGAAACCTTCCAGCTTCGCCACGAGATGGGCTGCTGTAGTTTTGCCGATTCCTGGGGGACCGTGAATAATGACAGCACGATATGTCCCTGAGCCGTCTTTACCACCCTTTTTGAAATCGGCCTGGGAATTGGCATACCAGTTCCGCAGCCAGGCCTGAACCTTTTCCACAGCACCCTTATTACCACAGATCATACTGGTCGATGTTGGGGCATACTTCGTGGTCCAGAGATCGCCAGATGATGCGGGCTGTGAGCTTGGTGGCGTCTGAGACGCGGTGGCGGTGGTCTTGGGTCCTTGAGCCGTGGCCGTCTTTCGTTTTTGCTCTTCTCGTTTCTTCTCTTCTGCGTCAATTTCGGCTGCCATGGCACGGACCTTGGCTTCATCGGCTTTCAGCTTCTCGGCATGCTTTTCGGCTGCCTTTCCATCACCGCCGTTGGCAGGCAGTCGTCGAATCAATTCGAAGAGACCATCCTCGTTGATGGTCTTGATCTTGTGCTTCGCAATGGTCTCAAGCTTCTTTGGGCCGGCATCAGCTCCGAGGACCACATAGTTCGTCTTAGAACTAGGAGCCCCCACGACTTTGCCACCATACTTCTTCACCAATTGCGCACCCTCTTCACGACCGAGGGATTCCAAAACACCGGTGAAAACAAACGCCAAACCAGAAAGGCAGTTTTCTTCCCCAACGGGTATCTCCTTAGTCCCAGTCATTACCGGGTCCCGGCTTTGTTGCGCTCCAAATTTAAATTTCTTTGGCTCTCCCTGAGGAGGTTCTGGGGCGTCAATTGTAGGAATGCTATCGAAGATATCTTGGAGCTCTTTGCTCTCTGGTTTGTCTTCCTTTTTAGCCTTTTTAGGGCTAGCCTTTTGCTTCTTCGCAGCTGGTGATGCCGCGGCCTTCGCTTTCGGGGCTGGCTTTTTTGTTTCCTTTTTGGGTTCTTGGTAGTCACCATCTTCATCCTCGTCGATGAGAGCTTCCGATTTGCGCTTGCGGCCAGGTCGAGCCTTCGGGGCAGGAATCTTGGGGAGATCTTCCATGACAACATCATCCTCGTCATCGCGAGAAGATTGCTTCTTCTGTGGCATCTTCGATGTTGCAGCAGCTGGCTTCACCTCGAGTATTTCAAAGTCGCTGTCCTTGTCGCTATCATCCCCATCCACATAAGCGTCGTCTCCTTTGCCGGCGTTTCCGTATTCATTCGCAAAAATGTCATCGGCGCCGAGATTTTCATCCTCCAGGACCTTTGTGGCTTGCTTTGTTGATCCCCGAGTAGTGGTTCGTCCCTTGTTCGCAGGTTCTTCGGCAGTCTTCTTGGGTTTCGCATTTTCGGCAACAATCTTGGCTTTATCGGGGTGAGTTTGCTCGGTTGTTTTTGTAGGTCGTGTTTTCTTCTTACTAGAGGCGAAATAATCGGAGGAAGTTGTAGGTTCTTCCTTACTTTCTTCGGGCGTTCTGAAAAGAAAGTTCATCAGTCAAATATTATGAGACATTTCAATCCAGCGATGGACATACGGTTGACTCTTGGACTTCGCTTTGGTAGCGGGTACCTTGGTGGGTGATACATCTTCTTCTTCGTCACTGTCATCCACAACTTTCCTGCTGCCTGTTCTCGCGTTAGACTGGTGGTGCAGTACTATGGATTATAGAGAACATACGTCTCTTTCTTGTGGCGGAGGAATCCTGCATTGTCGGATTTAAGGTTAGATTATGATCTCGAGCAATTCAAAGGGCACCAGGCCACATATAAAGTGGCCAGGACCTCCTCTCATGAGCAAGGCACCGGCTTACCTCTTTTTTGGCCGCGGGCTTCGCGGCAGCGTCGCTGGAGCCTTGACTTGGCTTGCCGCCAAAGAAATTCCGGATGTCCATAGTGAGCCTCAATTAGTCACTCGGATTTCGGCAGAGAACAGTAACTGGGGATTCGGGTTATGACAATCGAGTTCTTGCCGTAGCATTTGGTAGATCGCGAACGACGCGCTACACTCCCGGGGAGACGTGACTGGCTGACGTAAGGCAGCACTGTCTTCCTTTTTAGGACTAGCGTATATAAGCTAGGTACAGCTGTAGGAACTACGGAGTAAAAGAATCATGAAAGAAGTACAACATATATGATTTTCCAAACTCATCGAATAGCATAGACTGTACGTAATAATTCTAAGTGATCGGAGGAGCCATAAAGTACATTTACAAAGCTCTGGGCAAGGGCAAGCGGATTACAAGCCAGACAACATACTACTAGGTTATGTAGTAGTACGTACGTATGCCCAGGTGTAATAATACATGTAGTTTTAATTATTATTAACCGTGCAGCGCCGACTTCCTCTTCGGTAAACTCGGGTGCATTTCATCAATACGATGATCTGAAACGGAGGCCTGATTTGCGCGGCATGAATAAGCAAGCAGAAATAATGTCACGTGTATGCCTCTTTTCCACTTCGGGACTAGTGTCAATCATCGAAAAGTGCCGGAGTAACGAAGCCTCTCGCAACATTGGTATATCTCGCCGCCTCTCTCCTCACAATGGGTCCACAGATCAAGATGTTTGCTGGACCGCTCTCCGCCTGCATACGGCCAACTCGTATGAGCCATTTAATACCCAGAAAATTCATTCAGCCGAAGACTAACAGTGCGACACAGTGTCGGGACCGCTGGCCACCTTTTCTCTATCACGATGCTTCTCTACCACCTCGCCCGCCCTTGATTGGCTGACCCCGAAATTCCAAGAAAAATCCAAATCCCCCAAGGGTCGCCCTCACGTCGCTACCGGCGGATCCACCCGAGGAACAACAGTCGTGTGGGGAGACTTCGGTCTGCGCATGAAAGACCACGACCGCCGTATGCCCGCATCGGCGCTGAAGATCGCCGAAGAGACCATCAAGCGGCGACTACGAGGAATGAACTATAAGCTGTACAAGCGTGTCAGCGCCAACATTGGTGTCTACACCAAGGGTAACGAGCAGCGTATGGGTAAGGGTAAGGGTAAGTTCGACTACTGGACTGTCCGACTGCCCGTGAGCCGAATCGTCTTTGAATTGAAGGGAGATGTCCACGAGAAGATTGCCCGCGAGGCTTTCAGATTGGCGGGCCACAAATTGCCAGGTAGGTTATGCATTCTCTGCATGTACTATTTTGGGTACGAAAGATGCTCATTCTCATTCATTAGGTCTCTGGGAATTCGTCAACAAGGATGACCCGCCTGTCGTTGGTATCACAAAGCTCGGAAACGGTGTCACTCTCGACTCCCTCAAGCGGGCGCGTAGAAGCCCACCCCTTGGTACCAACGATCTCGCTTCACCTCCGAAGAGCGCCTCCTCCAGCTCCGACCCTACCCAATAAACTGTCGTTTCCTGCATGATACCGTTTTCTCTTTTTTCATCGGTCATGTCTTTTGCTTTTGCCGTCTTCGCCGACTAAGCCCCAACACCAGACCCAGGCCCATACCCCTGCTGTCTGCGGGCCTTGGTATCGTCGTCGTCACGTGTCATATCTTTTGTACATTATCATCAGCTGTTTGCGTCTCTTTAGGAGCCATCGAGACACGGGCTCCTCCGATGGATCTTTCGTCTTGGTACTAGGAGTTTAGACAAGGAAAATATATTCAGCATTTACCTTTACCGGACTCAGCGAATACTCCCATGCCCAGCTTCTGTGCCTGGAGATCCTCGTCATTGTTGGGTGCTGGGCTATCTGTCCCTAGACCAGGGCTCACTTCGCTTATAGTGTGCTTACTGCCGCCTTGGATGAGGTCAGTCATTGCACTCAGAATTATCTCTAAGGAAGCGACACACCCCCCAATTGTCCTGTCTGCTTTGGGGGAGTCTTAGTGAATTCGCGGATAGACTCATATCTGCACCCTTATATTAGCGACTAAGTTACAAGAGATGATCTTGATTCGGTCGATACTGAGTGCTCTCTCCGCCGGGTTCCATATCAACAAGTCTGGGGTCGGACATCTTGGATATTGTTCGTGTGGAATAGAGGTATAGTGATCAGACAATTATAGAAATGGGATTATGAAAATATAGCAGAAAGTCCTAACCCACAGATGAAAGCTATTCTGATGTTCACAGCGGATGGTCCATGAATGACCTCGGGACGGGGATGTGATGACGTATGTTACGAGGACAATCTCGTATCTACACAATTCGTGGTTATTGATATTATTGTATTAAATATGTGCTACATAGAATTGACCGCTGCTACAATGCGGACACAGCTTCACCGTTGAAGTGCATATATAGTTGCGAGTTTGAGAGATTGATGTATGCAAAGATCTTTCTACTACCTCAGAGATAATACAAAATGACAACATTGAAGTGATATAACGCCAAAATCCTTCTCAGCAAATACCTTCATGCGCCCGTAAAAAGTGAAAATAAATCGGATACATGAGGATTTCGAAAAAATGTGATTCTGCTTAATAGCAGGCCATAACTTCCTGGATCCTATGCTCACTGAAAACCTAGTTTACAAATCGTTATTCATGAATTGTCTTGGTTTCTTGGTAGTAGGTAATTAAAAATCCATGCCCATCAGGTAACTAATGTGCTATTAGTCATGTCTCAGTTGAATTCTCCAGGGGAAGCAAACCTTTCATAGATGCGCATGAACTTGGCCACGAAGGCTTCGAGATGGAAAATTACTTTCTGTATCGAATGTTTCATTAGCACTCGAATTGATGGCAATGATAATCATCAATGACTTACGGTTCCCAGCTTGATGCGGTGCTCATAGAAAGCAGACCACTTGATAACTTCTGGCTTCAGTGCATCGTCGACTCGTGCAACGAGCTTGAATGTCAAGGTCTAGCACCAACAGTTAGTATCTGGAGCATGTTCATTACAAAGGTGGATACACACCTTCAAAATGGTTGTCGGTGGGATGCAATGGGTCAAAAGATCATAAAGACGTGCGCGGACATGCAACAGCCGAGCCGGTGAACGTTCAGCCAGAATCTCATCAGCCGTTAGGGCAACAAGGGCCTCCCAGTCCGGAGGCGGGATGAGGGTCTTGTCCGTAACTTTTTCACTAGGTTTCCAAAAAAACATAAGCCTCTAAAATCCAGTACCTTGAGAATCAAAATGGAAACTCACTTTTGCGCATAAATCGACTCAAACATGAGCAGCGCACGACGCAAATTGCGTCCACTCTCCTTTGCAATCCTCTTGTTAAGCACCTCGGACTCGGTCCATCCTTCCTTTTTTCCTGCAAGATGGAGCGCAGAGCAAATGTCGCTTTCAGTAGGCGCTGCAACCCTGACCAGCAGGGTTCGAGAACGAATCGGTGCAATGATGTTGGAGGTGCTGTTGGCCAGGAGAATCAATCGCAGATTGGGACTGTATTTCTCCATGGTACGTCTGAGAGCTGCTTGGGCATCTCGTGTGAGGTGATCAGCTTCGTTGATCACGACGACCTTGAACCGCTGCTTCGCGCCGAGATCCACCTGTTGCGTCTGCGCAACCTCTTTGAGCAATTCCTGGACGACTACTCGGTCATAGTTTCCGACGTCTGCAGGAGTGATCTCAAGATGGTACACTGACGAGACAATGTTGAATTCTAACTTTCGGTTGCTCGTCGTTTGGAATACTCTGGCGTCGATCTTGATCTTCTCGACACCGGGGCCGTACAATTCTTTTAGTGTCGCAATGACCCGTGTTTTCTTGCCAGCGCCCGAAGGTCCATAGACTAGCAAGTGGGGGAAATCTCCGCTTTGTGCCTATCAAGAGTACCTAGTGTCAAAATGGTGTTCATGTCCAGAAGGTCAGGGTTTCTTACCAGTGACCGCAGGCGATCAGAGAGCTCGGGGTGATACGTGAGAGCATCAAGGGTACGTGGCCGCAGCTTGTCCACAAGGAGAGCCATTTTGAGACCTCTGTGGAAATTTGAGAGGATTGAGGGATCGGGGTGCTTGTGGTTTTTCGATAGAGAGGGTGCGGACTCGAGAACGCGTCCAGATACGCGCCTAATTAATCACTGGTCCGTGCACGCTCCCACTATATCGATGGATGCAGCAAAGAGCATCGAAGAACTTATTTCGATGTAGATTGTACAATTACACTTGAATAAATTGAACAATATATACAGCTAGATAGTTTTCTAGGCATTTGCCAGCCTTCCGCCAAACTCCGAGATGTATAGTACATGCAAAAGTTGCTTTGAGAGATGAGATGAATGCGAAAAAGCCGGACACGACACCACGCGTGTTTCTTTGTTCACTGCTGAATGTCCAAGTCTATGCAAACTCACACAGTTGAAATACAGTACCCCAATGCGCCCTTGGTATGGGCTTCTTATGAGGCGATTGGCGTCAGAACACCATTGTCATCATATTTCGCTTCTGTTATTGATTAGATCAGGCCAATAAAGCATCGAATAGAGATGAAACTTACTGAAGAAGGTATATGACAGGGTGATAGTATCAATACCCTGCATATTAGGATCGGTAGCAAAGTCAGGATCAATGAAGAAGAAAACAGGCATATCGACCGACTCTCCCGCATTGAGCTTCTGCTCCTCAAAGCAGAAGCATTGGATCTTGCTAAAGTACGGCGCGACCTGACCTGGCGTGACACTGTATGTTGCGACTCCAATAATATCATGCGGACCCTTATTCGTTGCGGTGTAGAATGCCAGTGCCGTCTCGCCGGGTAGCACTCGGACCTCGCGCTGCTGAGGAGTGAACTTCCAAGGAAGGACATCCGAGACCGAGCCGTTGAATGTGATGCGTAGACGACGAGAATCTGTCACTGGTCTCACGCGTGCAGAGGTATCACCGTCGCCGGTTCGATGGGTGAGGATCGGCTGACCGCCCCAACCGGTCTGTTGGCAGATCTGCATTTGAAATCAGAATGAGATTCTGCATAGGATGTACTCTAGACCGAGTGAAAGCTTGTCATACCATTTTGTAAAGAGGGACAGATCCATATGCAAGGGCAACCGTTCCAAGGATCATACTGATGGTATAGTACCTGATCAGGGGTTTTGTTAGCACATGGGTTCCCTCCGATGCAGGTTCAATGGCAGCTCACATCGTAGAGGTATTGCGTTTTTGCGATTCCGGGGTATTAAAAGGCGCTGCAGATGAATTGCGTTGTTCAAGAAGCAGGGAATTCCTCGAGAAATACCTCCGCTCCACCTCGAAGACGCTCTTCCGGAGATAGATTGATCGCTGGGGGGTCGTCCCCATCAGCACAGAGCGCCCCAACGAGGGGAGTAATCGTGAAAACATGGTTATATGGCTTCAACGGGATTGGATGTTTAGTCGCATGAGTTGCAGCGAATCCCCAACACGTGATAACTCCGATTCAAGGGCTTATCGATAAGCCCTAAGCTTCGGGTGTCACGTTATATCTAAACGGCGAGCAATATTGAGACAAGGGTAGATATGTTTATCTTGAATTTATCCTTGGTTTGTTGATGAGCATTAACTGAATATGATTGTCTCAAATTAGAAGGTTCAACCGCACCCTTCTGGCTGCCCAGGCTGCAGAATTGGCATGTCCAGCGACTAATTTACTAGTATAGAAGTAGAAAATCACGATGATGTTGGTATGAAGATACTACTCGCTTGGTACATAGTACATAATTTAATCGATATCATTAGGCTGGGGACATTTCAATGCATATATACATAAGGATGCAAAGTTCATAAAAATACAGGGTAATGGCACCCAGAAGTCAGACCCGAGGTCTAAAATAACCAATAACTAATACAACCGTTTGATGCCGTCGAAGGATCTCACTGGAAGAAAGTCTAATTCAATACACCCGATGTGATGCGACCAAAAACTCCTCGTACCACGCTAGGTCGCTCGCGGAGGCAAGTGATAAGAATAGCAGCGCTAACAGCAAATGCGATGCGCTCTCGGTATTGATACTGGGAACATCAACATGCGTCAGCATCTCGTGATTGTTTTGGAACCTGCCACAGGCTAATTTGAAGACATTGAGAAGGGGGTGGAGGGGATGTGGGTGTAACCCTGTTGTGGACAGAGGATGCGAGGGTCCGATGCATACCTTTTTATCATACAACCGTGGCAAAATCGTGGCGGCAGCCCGGGGTGCCACAAATAGCGCCAACTCCTGCCTCTTCCGCGTCTTTTCAACCAATATACTCCAGCCACACATGAGACATCCCGCACCGACACATAACCCAGAGTCCCACATCATCGGAGTGACCGTCTTCGCGTCAAAGATCTTGGGGCCAAGTCGTGTCCGAGCGAGACAGACACTGTAGTAAAATAAGCTTACAAAAGTTGCGAGGAAGGCAGATGATTGTGCTGCATCAGAAAGGGCCCGGCGGAGGGCAGTTGCAGATTTCATCGTGCGCAGACGGAAAACAATCTGTAGGGGTATATAGGTTGCACAGGCAAATTTGAAGGTTTTGGCAAATCGATACAATGCGTGTTTTTCACAACTGGGGCCACAGCCCATGTGAACCATTTCGCAAGGGATCGGGGCAACTTTTGCTGGGTCTCCCCACACCTCTGGCCAGTTGTAGTCTTTGCACATCGACTGGAGGAGAGGCGCCTGGCCTGTATCCTTTCCGTAAACGAAGACTCCTCGTCGAACACGACGCAGAGCTTCAATTAAACGGGAATCAACCTGAGCAGCTTCCCCGATCCACTTCCCGTAGGATCTGGGAAGTCTCTCAGGGAGATAAAACCATGCCCACATGACTACAGCGGCACTCATAGAAAAGACAGTTGCGTCGGCAAAGCCAGGGGCGAGAGATTCGACAGTCGTCCAGCGATGCTGGGCCCGGCGGCGATGGGACCAGCGACCCCATGCAACACACGCGACCGCATCTACGGCTCTTGTGGCCATGTAGATGGTGAGGTCCATTGTCCTCCCTGCTAACTCTGGGCGGTGATGTTCCAGCGGATTGGCCATAACCGGACCAGGGTCGTTCCCCTGATCTGTTGAATTCCGGATAGGTCTGACATCTTCTATTGGCAGAGAGATGCGGTTTTTGTTGAGCAGTTGAAAACTGAACCATCCAGATAGAAAAGTGATGACGAATCTAATTAAGCGGTCGAGCCTTTGTGAGATCTGAACGTCACCTTTGGAGAGACCTGCTGTGATCAATGCACACAGACGATACAATCCTATTGGTAGTAGGGCTGAGCCACCGACCAGGGAAGCACAAGCTGTTGGGAAACTGTTCAGACGCAAAGGACCCGTCAAGACTTTAGCTAGCTATTCAAATCGAGGTCAGTTATAGCACTTCATTTGCGCGATGGACCAGAGGAAAGGGTGATATGATAAGTCGCGATAACAGCTCCATGCTAGGTAATGTTGCGACATACCTCTTGAAGTTTCTGTTGCGCAGTCCAGTCCTTATTGCGCAGTCGGCGTATATAAGACACCAATTTCGGGGTGACGGAAGATAGGTACCCGAGCGCATAGGCGCGAAGGAGGCTACAGTCACAATCAGTAAGGGATTTTCAGATCACGCAGTTGCACCAAGCCACAAGGGTAACAGATTGCATGGACTCACGGCTTGAATACCCGGACGTTGTCCCTTCCAGGGCGTGTCCGGAGTGCAGGTTCCATGCTGCCGGAAACCTTCATGTCATGATCCGTCGGGAGGTGTCAACATAACAGTTCCCCGAACTAATCGGCGACGAAGGGTCAGCCAAGTGTAAACTCTGATGGGATTCACAAGAATCTCCTCGCCAATCAGAAATTAGGAGGTGTAAGAGCTCGATAGGTTTTATCCGTGGGTGACCTACAATTGCACCTCCCGAAAATTGGGTAGTATTCTCCGGCAGGGGGAAATTGATACCTGCACGATCGTTTTCTGGACTATGGATCAACCGTGGATCCCGTGTAATGGGCCTGTTAGAGACTTGTAATTGTACCTCGGTCCTTACCGAGGAGGGAAATTCAGAAAAACCCCCGCAAGATCCAAAGTCGGGGGAGGGATCTGTTTTAAGAGAAGACAGGGGACGATCATCCGAAGCAATGGGCCTTTCGGAGCAGAATAGTCGGGATTGCGGGGCTAAACAAGGCAAATGATTTAATTAAAACCCCATAATAAAAGGACGATCTCAGGAGAACAATCCAAAACAAGGAGGGAGATGAACCGCACTGACCCAATTATCTGTTTTTTTTTGTTGGTAAATAAGAATGAGATAAAGAGATATGGGTAAGAAAGTGCAATGTATTCCGAATGTATACCAGAATCAAACTGTAACAGAGGGTACCTGCAGTGTAGTTAGTTACTTGCAGCATTGACAAGTCGTCCTCTCTCTCAGGGCCTCGGGAAGGGTTCTCCGGCAGTTAACAGCTCTCCGCAGGAACGTATTAAATACTGAGGGTAAATTGTAAGCCACAGTGGAACGGCTGTAATTTATGTAATTTTGGTACTGTTACATCACGCGGTCAAATTTTTGCATGTGATCAGGTCGGCCGAACAGGACGATTGCTTTTGATGCGAAACTCTCCACATATTCTTCTATAGGACGGATTTCTTTTGCTTTCGGACACTCTCTTGATCCTCTTCTATTTCTTTCCTTCTTTGCATTTTCACCTGACCTTCTTGTTCCTATCCCCATTGTGCTGAACCGAACCGGTTCCTTATCGAGTCGCATTATCAACCCTGGAGAAACCCCGTGGCCTTGATCTACCCCCCGCGTCCCTCTTTTGTGGAGTCGAACCTTCGCTATCATCTTGATCGCATACAATTTGCACTCGAGCCCAAGGCATGACAGTATCGCCTTGGTCCGCGCTACTCTTGGCATCAGAGTAGCAACCCTTCTCTTGACCGACACCGGTACAAATCCATCTTGATATTGAACCATTTCTTCAGTATGAATGGACATGGGACTGAAGTTCGGACTGGGCGCACATCCCCTCCGGCTGCTCCCTTTGGATGTGAGTTGTTCCGGGCATTATTTTGTACTGTTCCCTCTCTAACCCGATTCCAGACTCCTTTCTCTCCCCCATGGACACCCCCTTTGAACAGGCACCTGCTCTACCCCCAGGACCTTCTCTTCTTGACGATAATGAATCCAATATGCTCGACAACTTCTTTACTACCATGAATGCAAACCACTTTACGAATGATTTCTGGATGCGACAAGAACATAAATCCGGGGCACCCAACTTTGACTGGTCGGGTGAGCTGCCACCCAACTTCGAGGGATCAACCACGTCCCTATCACAGCCTTCATTTCAGCAGCATGGGCTAGGCAAAGCATCCGGGGGAATGATGACAGACAACCCTACAAGCTCGGACATATTTGCCGCAGCTTCCATGCTCTACCACAGCGGTCTAAACGGATCAGAGTTAGGATCCACATTAGCACAACAGGCTTTTGCGGGACAGTCTCTGCCTACCCATGGGATACAACGAAAGAACAATTCACATACTGCCGGTACTGCACAGGGTTCAACTTCATCTCCAGCCCGGGTGGATGTCCCGATTGGATATCATACCTCGGAGATGTTTTTTGACGTCCGTGACCCCATTCCTGTGGACCAACATCCATCAAGAAAGGCCCGCAGTTTGCGATGGGGCTCAGATGCCAGTTTCATGGACCAAGGCTACCTTCGCCCCCCTGACCAGCCCGACGAGGAACAGCGGACAAATGACTTGCTCGATCATCTCGGGTGCTTTGAACGGCAAAGCAGTGCAGCAAACACCCGCGCACCTAGTCCAGAGCGCATGGTTGGGGCTCCCCCTCAAGGTCCCACCTTCCTAAGTGGTGCTGTCCTGGACGAGAGCTTACATCCCCGAAAACGGCAAAGGGCCTTGAAAGAAGAGGGCGATGACTACTCCGATGATGATGATGATGCACGACCTCACTCAAGAAAATCTAGAGGGTCTATCAGCAAAGGCCGACGGGTTTCAACGGATATGTCTCGAAAAGCCCGACTTCAAGCAGGGTCCAAAGCTGCACGAGAGAATCTTACAGAAGAACAAAAACGGACCAACCACATCCTTTCGGAGCAGAAACGCCGAAATCTAATTCGCCAAGGGTTCGAAGACTTGTGCACATTGGTCCCTGCGCTTAGAGGCGGCGGGTTCAGCAAAAGCGCAATGCTCACTGGAGCTGCTGACTGGCTTGAAGACCTTCTCCGGGGGAATGACATACTCCAAGGCCAACTGCATGACTTGAAGGGCATCAATGGCTTGGTGATGCCGCGTTGATACCCTCTGTGACACGATCACAACGTTAATATATGATCTCATGGATGGCCCCTGCCTCTTTTCTTTGCGGGGATTGCAAGCGTTTCAGCGAGTGGACAGTTTTGTGCATGCACGCCGGCGAATTAGCATTTCATTTTCGCAAATATCGGCAACAAGATACCATTTTTCTTTTCTCTGCATACTCTTCCGCCGTCTTTTTTCCATCTAACCGCCGTAGGTGATACAAGTCATCTTTCGGCTGGTCCTTGGCAAATATCGATACCCTAGTGCATAATTCGAAAAGCCTATATTGGCAGAACATAGTCTGAGTATTCAAATGTTTTTTTTTACAAAATTGTTTTGACCAATATATTAAGATGTAAATTTCTGCGTAGCCCATAATAAAAAGAATAGATGATGCATTGACCTGCGAAAGCAGCACGCCCGTTTAGTTTTGAAGGTCATGTAGACATACTAACTTGAATTTCAAGGACAGATTCGGATTCTATTTTAGTTTTCAATTTAAAATATTCGTATGCATGAATAAGTTAATACCTAAAGGCCGAGTCTACATACATAGTACCAAGACCCTGTGGGTTGGAATGCTACTACGTAGTAGTATCTCCATGTTTGTCTCCACCGCTCTGTTTTGCCTGCATGTGAAGACGCGTCAACGTAACCTTAATTTTCGACCTCGACCGACCGAACCCTCAACTTGCCATGCCTCCAAAGCGGAAACACACGGGCGACGATGCCCCGCAGGAGGACGACACCAAACGCTACGCCTATCTCAAACCTCACGTCCGTCGCGTCCCAGAGAAGACCATCAAGTCGAAATGGGCCCCTCTACCGGAACCCGTCCAGGAAAAGGTCATGGACATGTTCCACTCCCTCGAGCGACCGGTGATAATGCGGAATCAAAATGAGCGCAAACGCATCGAGGCGCAGGGCGCCGTGCAAGCGGTCGTGCGAAAGTAGGGTGCTATGCCCAGTCTGGTAGCTTCCGCAGAGCTACCAGTGTCTTGTGGGATGATGATACTAACCGTATACTTCGTGTTGTTTCAGTTTAGGCAAACGACTCCCGCGAATGCCGTTTCCACCCATAACAAAAGACTCTAACTTCGACTACGAATCTGCGCTGAATGAGCATGTATGTGACCCTCCGCGGTTGGCGACAAGAAGTCCATACTGATTACATTTTAGCGCTCGCTCGAGGCCCACTTAGCCACGATGAATGATAGCGTCGATCTACTAAAATCCGAGATTGCCAAAGAAGAAGCGCTCCTTGCGGGGGAAACAAAGTCGCTACAGGAAATGGACAAGAATGCCAAACGGGCCGAGGCTGAAAGGAAACGACAAAGTAAAAATGTATGCAGCAAATCCATCTTACTTCCAATTATGACTGGCTAATATTTTACGACCGTAGGAACACCCCGTGCTCCGACAGTTGGATGCGCTTCCTCAAACCGAGGGTTCTGGGTCCTCTGAGTTCACGCTTCTTGGTGCCAAAGATAGCCAAGTGACTCTAGACGAGGTATGGACTGCTTGTGAACCACGCATACTTGCTCTGTCAACTTACCATTGTGTTTGGTTTTAGTTGGAGACCGATCCCGAAGTCCAAGGACTCATGAAGCAATTGCATGGCCATCTTCAATCCATGCAAAGCAATACCGCCCCATTCGCAGGACTCGGTGATGCCGTCACTCGCTCACAAGCTGCCTTGGATCTATACTCGATGCCCAACGACTGATCGCCCCACTGGACATCACCGCACCATACAAGCCACCAATCCCGGCATTCTGATGCTTATGATTGACACATGAAGGGCCTCGGACCCAGGGTATGCACGTTTATTAAAAACGCAAACCAAGTACCGACCGAGCTTGGCGACCAGGAATACCAGGAATCACTTCGGCAATCCTTGTCGCGTGCTCGAATTCCAATGCATTCGCCGAATAGCTTCATACGGTGGAACCGGGCACGGTTGAACGCACCTCTCTTCAATAGAGAATATCCCACTGCAGGGGTAAAATATGAATCACACAAAATTAGGAGAAGGGTAATGCAAGTATGATGCGCACTCAGTCCAATCCGGGGAGTCCTGCTTCAAGGATGTAGACAACCCGAGGCTCCACCGCATGAAAAGATGGAAGAAACTACCTAGGTAGACAGTTAACAATCAATAATCACGAGTGTGCACCTTTCACACAATTTGGTTTCAATCAAAATCCGGCCAATTGTAAGGATAGAAAACGTAATTTCTCGACCGAGGTCTCGCCCCGAAAGTGGCGTGTGCCCAAACAGCCAACCCCATGCGGAGCAGTTCGGAGGGGTGACTCCGCTTTCTCCATCCCCGAACTTTTCGACGTTTACCAACTACTACCAACTGGTCTGCAGGCAGCCATTTCGCTCCGGCCCTGGTGGTTCTCACTGAAACCTTTTGCGCAATGTCCGAAAAGAATGCGCCGCTGGGCGCTTCCAATGCGACAAAATCCAGGTCCACTGATGCAGGGAAGGATACGAGCGTCAAGAACTCGCAATCTGCGGCCAAGGCCGAAACGACCGGCTCGGGGAGTCACTCCAGCCCCAAGAAGCGCCGGAAGGTGAATCACGGTAAGGTGCCGTTGCGCAGCATGCGACAGGGATCTGGGCGCGGCCGATTCTGTTGCGCATAACGATAAGAACATCTTTGCTAACGAGGGTTTCACGCAATTCCAGCCTGTGTATATTGTCGCCGCTCGGTAAGTTTACCTCTTGAAAATGCCATTGTGCTTGGTTACTATATGCGATAGGCCATGATATCAGTGCTGGCGCATATCTATTCGAGGAACTCGCTTTGCTAACGGGGTTTTGTTCGCGTGGGACAGCATATGACCTGCGACTCGGTACGACACCTCTGTCTCCCCTTTCCCCGTTCGCGACCCGTCACTTCTGAAACCCTGAACACAGACTTGCGGAAAATAAATTGCACCAGCTGACCTGTCTGAATCTATGAAGGAACGGCCCTGCACACGCTGTATAAAGCGAAACATCGGGCACCTGTGTCATGACGAGCCGAGGGAAACTGCGAAACGAGGACGTGGCGAACACGAACATTCTGCTGCAGACGACGAGGGCTCGTCTAACAATGAACTGGGCTCCGTTCAAGGCATGCCTAGGAGTGTCGACGTCGCCGATGCTGCTGGTCAGCAACCATTCCCTGATACCACGATCGGAATTGCACCCTCAGCTGTGAATCCGCCTTCAACGGTGCCGCCTGGGAATCTTTCTGCGTCTAGTCAGGGCCTCGAGGCTAACTCTCAGCGTGAGTTCGCAACGAATCCTTTTTTGCCTCCGGACTAAGCTAACGTGGTATGACAGTCATGCAATACAACGACTGGGTAGGTGGTCAGAATCAGTTCCAGGACATGCATTCTCTCCACCCGTCGTACATGTTTAATGCACATGAGGTGACCAACGAGTACAACCTGCTCGGAGATTTCCTCAGTAACAGTCTCTTGGACGACGGGGCAATGTTCCAAAACCAAGATATGCAAGGAATCTACACCGATTCATCAGTGATGAACTCGATGAATGGTATGGCGCTACCGAATGGGTTGCCTCCTCCGGCACAACTTCCGCCGCCGGCACAAAGCCAAGTACCGCCAGGAGACTCGATTCAACCACCAACCTCGACAGTGGGCAATGACAAAGCCCGGGAAACATACTACATGACCGCTGCCGACCCGGCAGGAACTGACCCACCAGAGGAGCGGATGAACAAGCTTCTCAAAGCGAAATATGACGCCGGATTACTGAAACCGTTCAACTACGTCAAGGGATATGCACGGTTGAACCAGTACATGGAAAAGAACATGCAACAAATATCTCGGCAAAAGATTCTGCGGCAGCTCGACAAGTTCCGGCCCAAGTTCCGAGAACGCATGCAGAGCCTGACTGATATCGAATTGATTCTGGTGGAGATGTGGTTCGAGCGGAGTCTTATGGAGTACGACCGCGTCTTTGCCAGTATGGCTATCCCGGCCTGCTGCTGGCGTCGAACGGGCGAGATCTTCCGAGGGAACAATGAGATGGCACAGCTGATTGACGTCCCGGTTGAGGGTCTGCGAGATGTAAGTTTCAAAACTGGAGACCCCTCACGTCATATTTCACCCAACTCACATGTTTACTCTCTGTAGGGCAAACTTGCTATCCACGAGATCATCGTCGAAGATCAGCTGGTCAGTTATTGGGAAAAGTTCGGCGCTATCGCCTTCGACAATACCCAAAAGGCCATGCTCACCAGTTGCACATTGAAGAGCCCTAACCCCAACTCAACGAGTGATGGTATTAATTGCTGCTTTTCGTTTACGATCAGACGAGACAATCACAACATGTAAGTGTTCACTGCTCACTGTCCACTAAATACCGATGCGCCGGAACTAACACTGTGCAGCCCGTCTCTCATCGTTGGGAACTTCCTCCCAATCAATAAATAGTGCTTTTCGGTAGACTGTTATCTATTTTATGTCACGCAAGGAATTCTCTTTTGGTATCATTTTCTGGTTTAGTGATTCCCCGAGTTTTGGCTATGTTCTTCACAGAAAAATGTATATTGCTTGATTTATGTGTATAACATCAAACAGTCTGTTTTAGGTCGAATGATATCTGGGAAATAAAAGGGTTTAATGCTCTAAGTAGTGTATATGTTCTGTTTGCGATGGTCAGGAGACGACATAAGCACCTGTAGTTTGAATCGCAGCCTCCACGACTCAGTCGTCTCGTTCGTCCTCCACGCTCTTCCAAATCCAACCATCTTCCTTCTCACTTTCTTTCTTTCTCTTCTCTTAACTTTTCGTCAACCTTTAATATCTCCTCTTATCTGTTTTCCATCCTCTTCCCTTGTCTCCCAATTCCCAAGTCTTCTCCATGGCGCAACCGTCTGGACCACGCCAGGCTCTAGCAGGTATGAGCCACACACCATGTCCTCCTCTGGGTGCAACAGCTAACCTCCAACTTGTTCTACCTTAGAATTTGCTTGCACTTTGCATACAACCTTATCCACAGTCGATACTTCGACAAATCCTCTCCTCTCCCCCAATGCTATTTTCAGACTGGATAGCGAGCTCAACAATAACCCGTTTTGTCTTGTGGTAAATACATCTGATCGCGAGCAGCTGGATATGATTGGGACATTGCTTTGGAACGCCTGCACCGACCTGATGATCTCGCGTGGTCATAATCCGGAGGATGTGCTGGTGCTCGGCAAAGTGAGGGCTCTCGCGTTTGCCGTGTTGAACATGGCTGTCTTGCCTGATCTCCTAGGTTTTTCACGGCCTCTAGTATATATTGAAGTGAGCTTATCTAACCTTTCACAGGGAGTTTCAGGGCGCTCGATCTGGCCCTCAAGGCGGCGCGTATTTGCATTGGTATATCATCCCATATCTCGCTTGATGTCTTTATCAACTCTGACAACAACAACAGTGAACCACCAACGCGAAATTGCGCTAAATATCTTGTCAGTGGCAGCCCTGAGGCTGGCAAGCGTTCAGTCTGCTCATCTTGGGCTTGATCCTGCGATTAGCCGCACTGTCACCACCCGATACTTCTTGCTTCGTATTCGACTGGTGGGTTATATTGTCGGAACACTGTTTCATGTGTCAACACCAGAACTGACATAGTATTCCAGGCCTGGTTGCAGGACCGAGTAGATATCGCGGAGCATTTCTTTGCCAAAATCCCTGCGCCGGTTGTGTCGAATGATGAAGAGTTGATTTTCGAAACTTGTTTTATCATTGGTGACTCTGCACTCGCACGGCGTCTTCCTGACATCGCAATCACATGGCTGCAGAGAGCGAGCGATCACTTGCAGTCCTTATCCATTATGACTCAGATGAAGTTTCCAGATTACTATGATTGGAACTTGGTTGTTCGACATTCCCTTGGTGAGTGGGTTGATCTAGTTGATGACCTCGACTAACATGCTGCAGTTGTGGCTTGTACACAGGTTAAAAGCCCTCAGGCAACCGTCACCTACGATATTGAAGTGGGAGTCTTGAGAGAAGTACGTCTGTGGTGAGTGTGGTAGACTTGAAGCTGACCATTTTAGCATTATCCAGAGCACCCTGCTATGCTACTTTTTGATCTCTCTGTGGGACGTAATAATCCTAGTAACGACGGATTACTACAAGGTAGGACTGGTCTTTATCTTGAATGGAACTGAATTAACCATATTGCTGTAGGTCTGAAGGATCTCGTTGAGGAGATACCTCTCACAGATATGAACATGCCGATGTGAGTTATCCCAACAAGTATTGCCTGGATCTTTCTCATAGAAGCTAACAGCAGTGGATCTAGGATATTCCAGTTTGCCCGATCTCTGGGCCATTCAGGGTACCTTGGTACAGCCCATCTGGTGAGGTACTTTGCTGACGGTTATTTAGTGGTTCGGATAATTGTGTGGAAGCATTTCGAATTTTGCTCATGCGCCCTCTGCCAACAAGAGAATGGACAGAGAAATGCTTTGTTGCTTTTCTTCTACTTTTGAGCAGATCAGAGTTCTCTGATTCTAAGCGCATTCGCACCCTCCGGGGTGTGATTGACGCGCTAGAGAAACGTGGATATCCATCAATTAGCGCCAGGACAGCTCACGCCACCGTGATTGTAAGGCAAACTCTCATCATGGTCAATGAAAGAGCTGACTTATTGTATACAGTGCATTTGGAAAATGACTGGCGTTGCGCTTCTCAAGAACGACTACTGGACTGCACAGCTATGGCTTCAGGTGTGCAGTGATCCAAAGATCTTTCAACACTGCTCCATGGCCATCCAGATCGCGATACAAAAGTCAGTGGAACAAAAATTGAGGTTTAACTTGCATTGCGGGCTAACATATTTTCAGGAAACTGGTTGCATGTTACCTACAGACTGGACACATCACTGCTGCTCGTCAGTTAATCGATCGGGGTCTAGTCCAAAGTCAGGTGGATTGCCACAGGGTGTACTTGTCTTATAAGTTGACCCTGCTGGAGGGTAAAGACGGCTCTGGTATGAATGATCCATGGCACTCCAATAATTCCGACATACTCTAACTATATGCAAGGGCATTTCTATCTCGGCTTTCCTTTGCACCCTGTGCCGCACAAGCAACTGAGTCTACTGTCGTGCGCAATGGAAGCTCAGAGACAACACAAACCAGAAGAAGTATTGAACTGTCTTGATCAATTTATCAAATGCTTGACTTCAGATGACACTTATCATCACGACTTTCCCGCCGCCGAACATTACATGTGAGCATGATTCAAATCTGTCGCTCCGTATATAAAGCTAAGTTGGCTGCCCTGAACAGATTTGCAATCACTCTTCTTTCCGAAGAGCTATCTAAAGGCTTTAGCCAGAGGCTTGGCAAATGCATCGAGACTGTACTCGAGAGTGGTGCGTTCCCCCCTAAAGCTATAGCAATCTTTTGATGCTGACCATTCAATAGCCCTGTCTTATGCAAAGGAGAACAGCATGTTTGAAGGTGGCGACCAGGAGGTCTCAGTCACCCAACTGCAATGGCTGTATTTTGCAACATACAAAATTGCTTTGAAACTTATCAACTCTTCCGGATACCTGTGGGCTACGTGTGCCTTGGATCACTCCAGATATGTCTGTTCTGACTATGCAAAGTGTCTGTTTGGTTATGTTTACTAACATGTTTTCAGTTTGCGCTTCAGTATCGCCAGATTGCATACCCCGAGATGAATTCCAAAGCACCCAGACCGCATTTATTTGCGGTTGTTTACCTTCGTCTCCTTGTTAACTCCCTTAAGGCGCGCTGCGATGATGATCCAGCTGAAAAGGTTAGCTTCAACGGTTCTTGTTTAAAAAATATTATCCACCGGGGATTTCACAACATCATAGACCATGATGACCATACTGACCATCTGCAGACATCGCACTACGAGGATGTTCGCGCTTGCTTTCAGCAACTCGATGACTTACATGGTTGGGAAGATGGAGAAGAGAAGACAGATGATGACGCGAATGACAAAGAAGACAGGCACCGTGATATTGCGCGATTTTTCGACCTTGAGGCTGCCATGCACCTCAAGAAGTGGAATGATGTCGCCAGCATATGTGCATCCGATTATGCATTCCCTGATCCGAAGTTTTACGCACCGATCATGGATCTGACTCTCCAATTGAACCTACCACCTACACTGGCGATCCAGATCATCAAGGTGCGTTCTATCTCATGACTGGGAGGCAACATTCTCTGAACAAATACTGACGTTTATACAATAGCGGATCGTGTCAAAACTCAACGAGCTACAGGACGACCCCCCTACCACATGGCAACGCGATTTCCGGGTTTCCCTACCCCGTTACCTCCATTGTCTATTCACTCTAGCCATTGCACCGGTTCAATACACAAGCACTTATGGAATTGCCTGTCTCGATGTCGAAATGGCCGATCCCAAGGTTGCTGAAGAAGTGCTTGACAAAGTCCTCGCAATGGCAGACGAAGAGGCAGGCGTGGAAGAGGATGAACACAATAAACAGCACGGTCTGAATGCCATCCAGGCCAGAACGGAGCTTGGTGAAGTGTTTACATATCCAGCTGCGGAGTTGATCAAGATTGCTACCATGGCTTTCAACAAGGCTGTTGACTTTTACCGTGCTACCCAGGACGAGGACTGTCAGCGTTGGGCGGACAAGGCCATTCGTATTGCTCGGCTTGTGCCTGGTTCCCAGGGTAATCTGCTAGTCAACACGCTTCAGACTAGACTGGGGAGCTTGATTGGAGTTTGAGGCCTCGAGGAGTTGTTAGGCTGATTTGATCTGGAGATTTCGAGTGGATCTGTGGTGAGAAGTGTGTGCTGTGCGCAAGAAGTATTTATTAAGACGCCACCGATCGAGGTTAGGTTGAGGATTGGACGAAGACGGAGATGATATTTCAAGGTGGGTTGTGTCAAAAAGTGGAGGAATGTGTGTGTAGTGCAGTGCTAGGTTTTTGAGAGGAAATCGAAAAACTTGTATTAAGTATTTTTATGCTTTCTCGATCAAAAGAAAATTATGAAGAGAAAGAGAGGATTCAATGATCTTGATCATGGTGAGATGGCCTATAGCCTCTCACAAAAAGGTAAATATGGGTATCATCAGAAGGGAAATGATCTCTAAGAAATCAGGAAGTAGAAAGGAAAATCGCCCAAGCCACCAAAAATCTGGTAGATCATGCAAAGATGCAAGGAAACAAAAATAGAATGCCCAAGAGAATGCAGAAGCCAGAATGCCAGAAAGAAAAAAAAGAAAGGAAAAAAAGAAAGAATCAAAGGAAGGCGATGTAAAAGTTGAGACACCAGATATGCAGTACCTCTCCCCAAAAAGCAAAAGCCTGCAATGGGAGAATGAAGTTCATTCCACCTCATTCGTATCGCAGGAACGACTCCGCGAAACCTGCCGCGCGCCCCCTTATACCGCAGCGACGGGGTAGATGGCATACGGTGAGGAATACGAGGCGACTTGGAGATGGCCGAGTAGCTCTGTTTCCGCTCTTGCTCCGTATCCTTACCGCTACTATCCGTCTCAGTCTCGCCGCTCTCATCACTGCTCTGTCCACGATCACCCACAATGCGGAGTGTGAGACTGAGCTCGCGCTCGAGCTCCTTCTGCGCTTGCATGCGTTGATTCGAGCCGTTGAGTTTCTTGCGGTACGCTCGGAGAGTCCGGCACAGTTGCTCGGTGGACATGTCCAGGCTTCCGAACTCGCTGCGCGGGGTTGTTTTGCCGCGGTTACGGAAGTCGAGGGATGTACGGCGGTTGGTGGTTCTTGCGCTGTGGGGTTTTCGGGGTGTTGGTGTTTTTGATTTGGGGCTTACTGGAGATGGGGACCGGCGGCGTCGGTCTTGCGGTGTGCCTGGTGTTGGTGAAAGACGGTTTGACGGGGAGGGTGTTTCTGAGATGGCGTGGTTTTTTAGTGATGATGGTGCGAGAGATAGTCGAGACAGCTTGCGGAGTAGGGTTGGAGAGTGCTCGCGTATAGGTGTTGGTGTTGTAGGATTGGGGCTATCTGGTCGTTGAAATCCGGCAAGCTCGCTGCGGGAAAGGACTTTTCGAAGAGGGGGCCTCGCCGCTGTCATTTCTTTCACGGGGCTTTCGTCGTCCTCGCGTGTGTTCCCGATGAGGTCTGGTGAGACCTGCTGCTGGACAGATAGATTCCATATCATCAGGATACCATCCATACCAGCACTGACCACTGTGCGCTTGGTTTGGGACCCATCGGATTTATCACGCTCCTCCAGAAGCAACACATCGGTCACGCCTTCTGTATGGCCAAATTCGCCAGTGAGGAGCTGGTCTCGCTCCAGATCATAAACACGTATAGATTTATCGGTGCTTGAAAGACCTATAAGAACCTTCGGGGTTTGACCTGAGATCTCAGAGGCAACTGTCAATGAGCCCAAAACTACCGCATCGGCGGTCTCCGAATCAGATGCCTTGAAACAGTGAAGTTGACGCCCGGAGGGGATATCGAATTTCGAAACGCAACGGTCCATGGTAGAAAGGTATAGAATGTTCGAGTCGTCTGGACAAAGTGTCATCGACACGGGGGAGGCCTTTTGAGTAATGACTCTTGAGATAAGGTAGGCAACAGATGAGCCACAGTCCACCTCGCGTGTCGCACGATCTCTTATAACAACGGTGCGGTCTGCGGAGCATGAAAGCAGCTTTTCGCCTTCGTTGATGAACATCAATTTTCCAACAGCTCCGACGTGATCGTCCATAGTTTGAATCAACTGCAACTCGGTGTCTCGTCTCTCGAAGAGTTGCACCATCCGATCACGTCCAGAACTAGCTATCAACCAGGTATCGTCCATTCCTTGTATGGCCACATCCGTGATCTCTCCACCATGGGCGCGCGCCTCGTTGATGCAAGTCCAGTCGGAGCTCGAAAAGATTCTACATCAGAGTCAGCTGAAGAGCTTGGCTACTATCTCAAATTTGCACATACCTCAATACACCAAACTTGTCACCAGAGACAAACCAGTCCGCATTTTCAACGGTCCTCAAAACTTTGAGTTCGTTTGCCGCATCGTCTTCTTTTCCTGGAAATTGATCGAGATCGATATTTTTCGATCCTCGACACTTCCCTTGGGCATCCCAAAAGTTTACCGAACCATTGCGAGACCACGTGAAAAAGTCCGCAGACAAGTCATTGGGGAAATCCATGCGGCAAATGCCGAGAATCGGGTCCCGGTGAGCCGGCATGGAAGCCTCGCCCTCCTCCTGTTCACCATCTTCGCCTAGAGTGTCGATCGGATAGACATGAATCGCGCGGGTGGATTCAACAGTGACCAGGTGGGAATTAAGAGACCCCATGCAAGTAATCGCCGGTGATTTGCTTTTCTTGTCAATCGCACTCTTGTCAAGGCGCGCAGGAGACATCGGCGTGGATGAGCCGGACGATCGTAGAACTTCAAATGGCACCCGCTGCATTTGCCTTCCTCGTCCACCTAGCCATATGGACTCCTGGTCGAAGTCCACGGCCAAGGAGGTGATGCTGAACCCAACTTGCTTTATCGTGATCATCTTCTGGGATCCTTCCCGATCATCGAGAAAGCAAACTGTACCTGAGTCTGTGCCGATTACAGCCTCATTGTGTGAGATACTGCCCACACAGGTGAAAGTGTTGTCGCCCAAAGTGCCTAATAGACAATTCCTGCCGGAAAGTGCTTTTGGCGCAGGATTGGGCGAGGGGCCAGCTCCCTCGGCATTCAAACGTGACTTGGTTGGTGAAACAGGCCGAATCACCGTTGGAAGACGCCAGACCTTAACGTGTCGCAGACCGGTCCTAAACAAAGACATTAGTTGACTGCTAGTTATCACCATCAGGTCAAACATACGTGACCAAGCTTTGGCCGACCCAGCACATATCCTTGATAAACGAGGTGCATTTATTCGCAGAGTGTAGCTTGGCCGACCCATTCTTGAGGTTGATTGTCCAGATAAAGAGAAATCCGTCGTTCGGATTGCCGAGTGTTGCCAAATACTGGGAGTCAGGGCTAAAAGCCAAACTGCGAACACCGAACGTATGTTCGTTCAGAATGGATAGAGGAACATCGGGCAAAGCATCTCTCGCTGTCGAAAATATTAAAACCCGAGGATTATAACCAGTCTTGACGTCGTCAGCTGCTGTTGTTGCAATAGATTATCTCAATTTCCGCCACTTACCTCTCCCACTGCAAGGAACCTTCCATTCGGGCTGATCGAAACACTCGTCACTGCTTTGATTCTTTCCCTCGAAGACCATCCACGTGGACTGCCGCTGTCGATAACTTCGCTCGACGGAGATCCATTGTGGAGATTAAGGTGCGGATTGGATCGGAAATGGGAAAGGGATCGCGATCTCGGGTCTGGGGTGGCCGGGGGAGTTGACTGGTTGTAAAAAGAAGTTGATGGGTTGACGCTTGTCGCGGAGGGGCGGGCTCGGAAGAAGCGCTGTGTTATGTTGTCGTTCTCGTCTAATTCTGCAAGAACCGCTGCTGATCCAGCGCATAACGCAAAGCTTCTGCTCTGGTCATGGCTTGAAAACCCATTGGGAGTGGTTGTTGTTGTGCCGATAACGGTTTGGAGGGACAAGGAGGATTGGTGGGAGGTTTTGCTAGGGGATCGCGTGCCAGGTCGGAGGATCGGAGAGTTCGAAGGAGTGATTTTCAAGGATGCGCCGGGACCAGCAAGCTTGCTTTTCGCACTGAGGGGGGCGGTGGTAGCCATATCCTCGGGGAGGCGATCGGTGATTCAAGGTCCGCTGAGAGCGCGGGATATTTGCATTTCAAACCAGGTTCATCAGATAGATTCGCAGCAGATGCCAGTCAGGCTGTAATAGGCGTTGGAAATTTTATGTCGGAGAGTGGTCAGGAGAAAGTGTGGAAGGATGGTAGAATTAGTGGGGGCAAGCTGAATTGAAGCTCTGATCAGCCAAGTCCGGTCTCCATGCACACACACAAGTCTAGAACTCACCAAAAGAGCGTATAGGAAGAGAAAAGGAAACAAACACGAGGCTCATTCCGCGCTAAAGCAGATCATTCCAGTCGATCGGAGGAATTTGAACCTTTTGGATGCCCCTGGCTCCATGGGGTTATATGGGCTGCTCCTTGACTTCTGATTGGCCTCTCGATTTCAGGAATTGCCGGATTCTTACTTCTCGAGAGATTTGAGATCTCGGGATGCCCTTCGATCTGCGAAAAAGCGCGAGATGAACGGTGGGTCGTGTACGCACAGGTCGCCGCACTAACCGGGGCCTTCGGCTCAAGGTGAGCTCTGATGGGAGTACGTTGTACGTTGTTGGATGTGGTTATATCACAGACCAAACCAGAACAGAACCAAGGGAGGCCCACGGGAGGTTCCACGGGAGGCCCACAGGTCTGTGGATTTACTTTTAGTCTGAGACTTTTGTCTGCACACCACACCTCGATTCAGTCTCACGTGCCCCGAATACGATCTCGTGCCCCCCGATGCCCTAATCTCGCAGCACAATTCGACCAGTCCATTGCGATGTATCGCCAACTCCGGTATTGAGCTTCTTGGCAGCCATACATGCCCATTTCCACCAATAATATAGATCAATTACAAGTCTCATGCAACTGTCATCCACGCTAAAGTCCTAGCTAGCATCTTGTGTTTATTCTACAAACGACATTATGAAATACAGGGCTCTAAAAATTCTGCTGCACAACAACCCTGGCTGCTCCAGAGTTGGTCGCACCTCACTGCCGCAAAAATATACATAATCGTCAATTTCCAACTCCGGCACTCGCGGTTGATGCGGGTTGAAGCCCCAACAGGGACGTCCATGCAGCCACTTATCACATATGTACCGAAAACTGGCGTCACTACCTTTCTCGGCTCGAATAATATTAATAATGGAAATCGTAATAGACAAGCATTCTGCTACCTAGGTAGTTAGTTAGCAAAGTACATATGTATACAAGAATAGTAGGCCGCTTATGCGGCCTTGACGTCTTTTTTGGTAGTCTTTTTGAAAGTCCTTTTATATGTCTTCTCGGATATTCTTTTCATATGTATTTTTTTAAATGCTCTAGCTGTTTCTAACGCAATCAATTTCTAGACCGTTGTCTCTACCAGCCAAATCTTGATGAATTTCAACCCGGAGATCTTTGGCGAGCTCGAGATCTACCGGCCCGAGCGATGGCTAGGGGAAGAGGGCAAGCAACTCAAAGAATGGGAGATCTCCTTCAGCAAAGGTCGTTATAATTGAATTGGAGCTAGGTACATATTCCCAAGCCTTGTTTCTCAGCGGTCACAAATATGGCTTTTTTGGCTTAGCCAGTGTTGAACTTCATCTGTGCCTTGCATATCTATTTAGTTTCATTACATTGGAACTCTTTGAGATGGATGCAAGCAGTATAGAATGGAGGGATACTGTTTCAGCGAGTAACATGAAACCAATTAACTAGAGTACGGATATTGGAAGATCGCTGGCTGCCTTAGCTCGATATATAACTATTGCTTCGTATCTGCCGACGATACATCTTCTGTGAATAAAGTTATCGAATGAAAACTGTGAGTCAAATATTTCTTTGATTCATGTTCTCGGTACATCTGTCATATTTTGATGATCAACTTGGGTCATATTAGTTCTAGGCTGTCTTGTACTTGGCTAGACTTCAGTTCATACTGTGACGCCATATTTCTCAGGCCACCAATATTTGGATTTGGCTATCTTATCGCCACCGGATATTTTCCCTTCACTCAGGTGAACTGCCAGATCTCACATTTATCTATTGTCAAGTTTGCTCAGGTCGTTATTCCCTATTTTTCCATCTTCAGGCGATTCCTAAGATGGCCACCAAATGTGCTGCCTCATCGAGGCTGGCTCTTCCTGCCGTTCTTCGCAATATTTTCCGCTCTCAGTTCAATAGTAACTTGGGCACTTCTTCAATAACCGTCTATCACCGATCTCTTGCCTCGGGTCCTCTTTTCTCTTCGAATATCCAACTTCAACGATCATTCAACTCAATGCCGCGCTTGCGTGATTCCCAGAATGATCAAGCAGCGCCCGCAGCCCCTGAAACCGCGGCCGTCGCCGATGACACCGTGCCTTCTCAACACAACACACCGAAAAAGAAAGATTACGACTCATTCGGCAAGAAAGGTGGATGGAATACACATAGACGTCACCCCAAAGACCAGCAAAGGGACCCAGATAGCACTGGAAGAACCGACAGAGAGCGCAGAGCTTTCCGCAACGAGACTCGCAGGGAGGCGAAAAAGGAACCTCGCAAGGATTGGCAAGACAGAGCCGAAAGATCGAAACAGTTCCCAGAGAACAGGGGAAAGAGAAAGCCTGAGACCTGGCAAGTGCAAAAAGCGGCTTTGAAGGAGAAGTTCACCGGTGGTTGGAACCCACCCAAGAAGCTTTCACCTGATGCCCTCGATGGAATCCGTCATCTTCATGCGAAGGCTCCCGAACAATTCACGACCGCTGTCCTCGCAGAGGAGTTTGAGATGTCCCCGGAGGCTATTCGCCGAATTTTGAAGAGCAAATGGCGCCCATCGGAGGACGAGATGGAGAGTCGGCGCAAGCGATGGGAGAACCGGCATGATAGAATCTGGAGTCGTATGGCTGAGCTTGGTCTTCGCCCTTCGACAAACCGCACGCGAACCCTTTCAGACTTCCATGTGCTGTATGATGACAAGAATCGCGAACGAAGATAGTTGTCTATGTACATTACACTATGTTATATATGGTTTAATTTGCGCCTGTACAATAAGTAATATTACCTGTGACTTTTTCCTGCTTTAATATTGTGAATAAACAACATATTTACTATAGTAGTTGGTTGCAGAAAAGGGTGGGTATCATATGTCATTTAGCCCGTAGTTCGGGGTGGAGCTAGGAGCAAGGAAGGATATCATCGCCACGCAACTCCCTCGGCAACACAACACATCTTCAACTCCACAACCAGCATGGTTCATTCTGGTTGACAGAATGCTAGTGGCGGCACATTTCACCAAGCTTCAACCTAACTACAGCTCATCGTGCCGGCAATTCCCCCCAGCCCTTGGCCCCTCTCGAACTGCAGCCCACATGCGGCACAACCGCCATGCCGTCCAATATCCAAGTCTTCGTGAAATGGAAGGACCAGACTATATTTGCAGGAGAGGATGTGGAATGTACTATAACATTCAAGAACGTGGCCGATACTGGCGCTGATGCCAATAATGCGGGTGAAGGAGGTCAACATTCACGGAAGGTCTCTCGAGTCGCGAATCACACACCCAACTCGAACTCCGAATCTTTCTTCGGATTTAAATCACCCCAAGCTCTCTTTTCTGGTCGCCGATCATATTCCATCAGCTCCCAACGGAAACCTTATCACCGGACAGCCTCGTCCCTGAGCTCTCCGTTGGTCGGCTCCCATAGCTTTCCTCCGAACAACGGCCCCTCTACACCGCGAGCATGGCAGCCAGGTCACAACCATAAACGCTCCGTCTCCATCCTATCCATTGATAGTGAAGGCCAAACCGATCCGTCGCCTTCCACCCACCATTACAATCGACATCAGCCAGCCAGGGGTCATGGGCGCTCGGCGAGTCTCCAGGTTCTGCCACGAAGGAACAATAGCTACGAGGATTCTTACAAAAAAGGTAGATGATGGAAAGTGCAAAAATGTACTTAGCGGCTCTTCAGCTAATGACTGTCTCTTATCAGCGAGATCCCCCTCTCATGCCTTTCCATTTCCATTGACAGAGGCTCCTAACGAGCATCCCAACGGCAGCCTGAAAGTTGATACCTCCCACTTGGGGCGGGCCAGCCGCCCTGGCTCTCTAGCGACTAGTCCAATAGGCGCAGTAGAGCCATTGCGTGCACCCTCACGACGGCCCCAACCGCCTCCCCTCGATTTTAAGTTTCCAGCGATGCCTTCGACCGATTCAACTAACAATCGCACCGTGCGCACTCCATCACCAAAGTCGGCGACAACGAACGGTACATCATCAACCGGAGGAAGGCCCACTGCCAGAGACGCGCAGGGTCTGACTGGACCGGCACATCAGCAACTAACTCGAATTATATCCGCCACAAGCGTGAATGGGAGCAGCCGGAGCAGCGGGGAGTTCTACTCTGCTAGCGACCATTCCACCGAGACCCTCGGGTCCGAATACACAAATTATTCGGTGCAGGGTGCGCGAGCTCCCCTCCCATGCGGCATGCGCGGCATCATTCGAGCGTAGTTGCATCTCCCGCCAAAGCCTCCAACAGCCAGGCGCTGCTGATGGGCTATGCGCAGGTTAACGCATCATTCACAGTCGATGGATCATTAGTCAACCAGTCAGCCTTCGACGAAGTCAAGCGAAAGGGAGTTGTTGGTGGCCAACCGGGTTCAGGCGGACTTCCTGGCCGTCCAACGCCAACAGTTGAGCGACCACGTAAAACTGGTGGGTTCTGGGGCGCACTCAAATGGAACACTATTGAGGAGTCTATCAATGGTCTTCTCTCAAATAACGAATTAGACGGGCTACGAGAAATGCGTGGTGTTACATCGTCGAGATCAATTCCGCTATTGTCCACCTCGCAGTCGCTGCTTTTTGTTGACCTCCGACTCGCACCAGGGGAGGAACAGTCATATTCATTCTCGTTCTCTCTTCCCAAAGGACTCCCGGCGAGTCATAAAGGGAAGGCAATCAAGATATCATATAATTTGGTCATTGGAACTCAGCGGCCTAGCGGGCCTAACGAGCCCCAAAAGGTCAACCGCATCAATATACCCTTCCGCGTTTTCAGCGGCGTGAATGGTAAGTTATGTTATTCACTTTGCTTTCCATCCCAAGTTCTCACATTTTCATAGAAAAGGGAGATATTCTTGGGCATGACTTGATGTCACCTTATGTACTTCTACGGGATGAAGCGAAGGTGCAAAAGGTCGGGCCAGTGATGCCTGCGACAACGAAAACCCAAAGTATCAGCAAATCTCACCATTCTGCAGCCGATTTCCTTGGTTTTGTGGATGAAATTTTGGAGCAACGTGCGCGTTCCAACACGCTGTTTCCACCTGGTGCTACGCCCTCGAGACGACCTAGCGTCGAAGGGTTACCCCAGATGCTTACTTCTAAGGATGTCATCGACTTTGCTATCCTTCGCAGCAACCAGGCCGTGAACTCTCGCAGCAGCCCCAATCGCTTTGAGATTGCTCGCGAAGGTAAACGTATCGCAGTGGTCGTCTTGAACCGACCAGTTCATCGACTTGGAGAGACCATTATTGCCACTATGGATTTTGGAGATGCCACAATTCCATGTTACGCTGTTCGTGCCTCGCTAGAGACGTCCGAAAAGGTCACCCCTACTTTGGCTATCCGGTCAAATGCCAGCATTCACCGAACCACGCGGCGCATCCATGCTTCTCTGTTCGAGAACACTCTCCATGCTACCCGAGTGGCTTTTAGCCCTGCTATCCCTATCTCAGCCACGCCTTCAATCTTGACGAGCGGTGTGACTCTCGATTGGGAACTGCGATTCGAGTTTGTGACATCCAGTGTTCGAGGCGAGCAAGGGGCCCAACCCTCGGGCACTCGCTTACTCGAGGCCTTGTCATCGGATGATCGCGGCACAGTGCTGTCTGCTATGGAGCATTTGAACTGTGAATCATTCGAAATTGCTATCCCGTTGACGGTTTATGGAGAGACTGTTCGAGAACGACTGCCTGAGGAGAATGAAGGCTACCCAATCTAGAACTCTAGATGTATACTAGATGTACACACGTGCTTGCCTGCCGCGCAGGTTATGCTTGATTTTATTTCGTTTGATTAAATATTCCCCTTGTGCCATCGAGGGAGAAACTCCCGCAAATATAGACCCCACCAGGCTCTGAATTCCCATGTATAATTGATATTAAATTTGAATTTGAAAAATAGCTACATAGTACTACTATTGTATGTAAAATATATCTTATAGTTGTGACGTAGACGTGGTAACTGGGGCAACGCGGCCAGTCAACGGATCGGATCTCACTTTATCAACTTTGGTGGAGCTGAAACCCGATGACATCTCTCTCCTTGCGCGTTTCTCCCAAACGCATCATCCAGAATCATTGCTAGGTATGTCTCATTGGTACTATCTGCGCGTCTGCACATCTGCACATCTGATGGCATTCCTTAAATCTTGGACAATAACTGGTGTCTAATATTGGAATGTAGGCTCATCACGATCAGCGCAAACCCCGCCGAAATACACCCCTGTCGAAAGGGAACTTTTTAATCGAGCCTGAGAGAATATGGCTTCGTTCATCACCACCATGTCTGTCCCCACTACCCCTCCCGTTGTTCATTTCCCTTCCCCTGGGGAGCCTGTCTCTCGCTCCCCGCAATCCCATCTCCCTTCCGTTATCAGCCCTTCCGCCCTGTATCAAACTACCCGCACTTCCCATATCCCCCTCTCGGAGCCTCCATCTTACCTGTCGCCGGCAGTGCGCGCACTCAAACAGGGCTGCCTTGGACTAACACCTCCCAGCAATGCACGCACACGCGCCCCCTTCAAGCCCCGCTCGGCTGCCAAAGGCACGAGCAGTTATCAACTACGACAGTTCGCCGAAGCCACACTTGGAAGTGGTAGCTTGCGCAAGGCCGTGAAGCTACCCGAAGGCGAAGATCAGAATGAATGGCTCGCCGTCAATAGTAAGGCGCATCTTGCGGAGTTGTACTAGGCATACCTGCTAATGTTTTGGTGATCTAGTTGTCGACTTCTACAACCAGATCAACCTTCTCTACGGCTCAATAACTGAGTTCTGCTCACCGCAGACATGTCCTGAGATGAAGGCTACAGATGAGTATGGTGCTTCCTTGGCAGGCGGTTGATGACCCCCGACTTACAAGTTTGGATAGGTTTGAGTACCTCTGGCAAGACTCGGAGAATTTCAAGCGGCCAACCAAGATGTCTGCCCCGGAATACATTGAACACTTGATGGCCTGGGTTCAGAGCAACGTCGACAACGAACAAATGTTCCCTAGCCGGATCGGTATGTCTCAGGAGTCATTTGTTAGATAGTATGTCTATTGCTCACCCATATTTCCAGGTGTCCCATTCCCCAAGACCTTCCCCAGTCTTCTCCGCCAGATCTTCAAGCGTCTATACCGTGTATACGCCCACATCTACTGCCACCATTACCCAGTGGTAGTGCACCTTGGCCTCGAGCCTCACCTCAACACCAGCTTCAAGCACTATGTCTTGTTTATTGATGAACACAAGCTGGCCAGTGGGAAGGATTTCTGGGGACCGCTGGGTGACTTGGTGGATAGTATGTTACGCAGCGACTAAGGATTGAATCGGGAAACCGGGTAGTAATTGTGTTTTGCATCTGATCTCCGCAGTCAGGGATACTGACTGGTCTACGGAAAAGGATATCTCAGCGGCGTTCCGGGTGCGGTTCATGCATTGCAGTATTTTAGCTTGGACTTTTTGGCGTTTGGGACTTGACCTAACGCGAAGACCGAAACGATGAATTCATGGATATCTCTTTATTTCTGATGTTTTTTTGTAAAGAGGATGTTGCAATGCTTATTGTGTAGGCTGTAATAGCCGATATAGGGAGTTGTCTGGACTAGATTTTATACTTCTTATACTCCTGCAATTAGCACAATAGATGATTTAAAATGTTAAACCAACCGCCAATGATATGCTAGCGGTACATCTTTCCTCGACTATGTGGATGAAAGTAGTCATTGACTAATGTCTATCAGACTCTGACATGACCTCTTATGGAATATAAACAACCGCAGATGCATTTCCTGCTCCTCCTTACCTTCTTAACCGACGGTGACTCGGCGGGTTTCTACTTGACGGTGATTGGATCTCGTGTTTTAGTCTCGAAGGAAGCAAACAACGAAAAGACACTCCGATACTCATATTCTTTTCTCGATTGAATTGCGTGGGCATAGTCCACGGCTAAGCCACTAGAGGCACCAATATCAGCATATGTTTGCCCTAAGCCGTCACTAGATTGGACCTTAATCTCAGGTTTCCGTCTAGGTTGATCCCGACACTCGAGCGGATCTTCAAAGTCATAGAAACATGATTGTTTGGTAATGGGCCATTTTATATCCCGGCCAGTCAAGCCTATCATGGTTGTTCTTCGTGGTCAATTTGCATAACTGGCCCATATGATATATAACCTGTGAATGTGATACAATTGACAACACACCACCAGTAGCGTAGAAATCCCGCAAATTATTATCTCTAAATGGCCGAAAAGATGTCGAAGATACGTCGAAGCCGCCAAGTAATTATATATGCACGTGACCTGGCTATTGTGTGTGTGCACGTGACCACGGGAACATTCGGCCCGGAGGTCTCAACCTTGCATCCTTGACGAAGCAAGCACTCCGAACGTCGATATCACCTCCCCATCCAACCCTCTGTGTCTCTCCTCCCTCCTCGAGGCCACTCCTCCAGCCAATTGCACAATGATGTCCGCTCGCTTCGCCCGCGCTGGCCTGCGTGCCACCCAGTTCTCCGTTCCTCGCACCGCCGCCGTTAACGGCATCAGGTCCTATGCCACCCCGGCCCAGGATACCCGCGCCCCCGTCGCCCTGTTCGGTGTTGATGGCACATACGCCTCTGCTCTGGTATGCACCTCCATTGCTCCGGTCTTGTCGCGACCGTGTGCTTTGCCTTTTCGCGACAACACCCGTCTTTCCCCGACCCCTCCCACAGTCGTGTTCCACTCTTCAAAAGCAATCTTCAAATCCTCATCACAAAACACTACAACCCATACTGGAATGAATCCCCACTCTAACCATGCTCGTGAATAGTACACCGCTTCCACCAAGTCCGCTGCTCTCGACCAGACTGCCCGTGCTATCGCCAGCCTCGGCGAGACCCTCAAGACTGACAAGAAGCTCGTCTCCATCCTCCGCGCTCCTATGCTCACCGTCGCCGACAAGAAGGCTATCGTCGAGGAGCTCGCTAAGGTGGCCGGTGCCGATAAGGCCGGTATCCTCCAGAACTTCCTCGAGACTCTCGCCGAGAACAACCGTCTCGGTTCCCTCGAGGGTGTCTGCGACAAGTTCGCTACCCTGATGGGCGCTCACCGCGGCGAGATCGATCTCAACATCACCAGTGCTCAGGTACGCACTCCATGAGCTGTGTTTCGGCCTCGCAAAAAAAGATAAAAAAAAAACAATAAGGATATAAGCTAAAACTTCATCCGCAGGAGCTCGATGCCAAGACCCTCTCCCGTCTTGAGAAGGCTGTTTCCAAGTCTCAGCTCAGCCAGGGCAAGAAGCTCAAGGTTGTTGCCAAGGTGCGTTATAATCGATGGAATTTTGTTTTGTTTTGTGGCTGTTTGCTAATTCTGTCTATTAGGTCAACCCCGACCTCGTTGGTGGACTCGTCGTTGAGATTGGCGACCGCACCGTTGACCTTAGCGTTTCTTCCAAGATCGCCAAGATGAACAAGGCTCTTTCTGATGCTTTGTAAATGTAAATTAGCCTTAGCGTTTGAGGGGATGGTTAGATTATAGCATATCGTCCCAGATGAACGGTAGCGTTCGTAGGGGGAAAGGGGTTTCTAAGATTCCCTTTTCCACCTTCATTTTGTTTTGTTCTCATTACTTGTCAATTGCACAAATTCATCCATAATTGATGTCTTAAGATCGTTACTTGCCTAAGCCCTACAAGGTACGGTGGACACCTTGGTCTACAGTGAATCTCGTATCCCTCAACGCGCTTGCTTGCCTTGGTGTCTGCCTGCCTTCCGTATCGCGTAGACCTGACGTGCCATTCTGATCGCCGGTCAATCCGCGCGATGACTTTTCAATTTATATATCTGACCCTTCTAGGGGTGTGAGAGAGTGGTTTGTGATACGCCTAGGCACACGATGAGCGGCTTCCTTCTGTTTGAGAGACTAGTGATATCATTGACGTTTACTTTGCTATCAAATACACTAGAGATCAAGACTACTCCGAAAATATGAATAGGTTGGAAATGATAGATAGCAGGACATGCAACACGTTTAAAAAAGGAAATAGGGAAGAAACAGGATCGTAACCAATAACAAGAAGATCGTTATTATCGTGCCCAGAAGCAACCAAATAGGAAAATGACCAGGGAAGAAGAAAAAGTATAAAAAAGAGTCTAGGTAGAAGGCACATCATCAAATGGAAGACGAACGGAATGCAAGATGCAAGAGATGGACAACTATCCAAAGCCGAATTACGACTGTCCATTCTGCTCATTCTCCTTGTCAGCCTTGGTCTCAAACTCATCCTCATACGCAGCAATCGAAGCCTCGCTGCGCACCCGCTGCAGCTGACTCTCCACATAGTGGTCAACATGATCCTGGTTATCTGGGTTTGCAGTGCTACCCCTACGACTGCCCGCACGACTAGGACCACGACTCTCATCGTCATCATCCACAACCGTCGATGCAGCGGGAGTAGCATCACCAGAGTAGAAGTCACTGCGGTTACCGATGGAGCGTGTAGTCGACGAGCGGCGGATAGACGGACGGCCCGAGCCGCGCGGTCGTCCAGAACGCGAGAAGATGTCGTCGAAATAGTGCGATGCGGCGGCGAAGGGCGACCGCGGCGTCTGCGGTAGACGACAGTTGATACCGGTGTCGTGGATGATCTTTGCGATTAGGCCTGTCCATCCGCACTGGTGCGATGTCCCCAGCCCACGCCCGCTGTCACCATCGAAGAATTCGTGGAACCAGAGATTGTCTTTCCAGTGCTCGT